CTGGCTGGCTGGTTCTAAGCACTTAAACAGAAATATTGATATACTGAAAAAAAATTATACACGCTCTCGGTGTATGCCTAGTGCGTAAACCCCGATACAACAATGCAAAATCGGTTTTGGCGACAACTCACCTATAGGCTGCCGTAGAGTGGGGCACGTGACAGATGTCGCTGCCTGGAACCTGAACTTTGCCTCGTGGCTGGCTCCTTTTAACATACAACCACGAATGTGTGGATGGCCGAAAGGATGCCAAGTCATGATGTGCACCAGAATCAGGCATTCAAAGTTCCAAATATTGTACCTGTGAGATTCTGGTTTTTTTTCTACGCCCCGATGAGATGTACTAACTCTCAGCAGGATGAGCTAGCTGCATTTCACGATTCTCACTTCTCCAGCGGCGCAGTGAGTAGCTTCCAGCAGGACTTTGTCTCGCCGGATCCTCGCGTTCCTGGTTTCGATGGCGAGGCTGGAGAGTCCTGGGAAGAAGAGGATGACTTAGGTTACTATGAGGATGGAGTCAAACGGACATTGACAGACGAACAAATCGAAATATTCCGCCATTCAGAGCTTCGGGAGCTCGAACGCACCAGGGAAAGAAGCTCGAAGCGGCTTCAGTCGGGAAACTCATCGGAAGAGCAAGAAATTGGCAATGGACAGCCTGCTATAACGGCCACGGACAAGCCACGAGACGGAAAGAAGGGCAAGAAGAAATGGAGCAAGCAAGCCAGGCGAGAACCCAAACCTGATTTGCGAAAACGAACGTGGGACGTTGTGGAGGCTGGGCTGGACTCTCTTGATTATGATTAATGAAGCAAGATGGCGTTTCAAGATACCCATGGGTTTACAAAGGTAAGGCGAATTTTCTTTCTGCTTGACTTGTTCGCTTTTATTGAGCAAACGGCGTATGATGAAAACCTTTGTATCGTCATCCTTAGTCAGATTAGTGTCGAGGGCCTAGGAACCATGGCTACCGTCAATGGTGAGGCTTGAGGATGCTAAGAGGACGAGACATTAATCTTCTCTCTGACGCCAGAGAAATGTTGGCTACTTTTGTTGGATTTGATGAGAGAGAATCTGCGCTAACATGGTACTTGAAGTTTTATTAGGCCTTATTTGATATTTTCGGGATGGCCGACAATGGAGATGGATGGATGATTTGATTCCGTCAGCTGGAGAGTTGTTTATGATTGTACCTATAGTTAAAACGATGGATAATTGACTCGTGGATTTCGGACACTTTTTTTTTCTTCTCTTATTTTTTCTATTGAACGTGCATGTTATTTTGTGAGGCGTGCAAAGTCGGCCTCCACTCAGGTTGGGGAGTAGCCGGCTCCGGCCTTCTTCGCATGCCACCACCACCACCACCACCCACCCACCCGCTAATCCTGATTTTGCCCGCCTTCCAGACCCCGTCCATAGCAACCCAGCGTCAACACTCTCGGTGCCCTTTGGCTGAAATACGGCCTCGCCCATCCCGCCGCTGCTCCTCGACTGTCCGCCGTCGTCTCCTCGTGCCATTGCACTCCTTCACCGATCCTTTTCCTTTGCATCGCGTCGCGCCGCCCTGCGCCCGCCTTCCTCGCCCACGATGGCGCGCGTCTACGCAGATGTCAACTCCAACATGCCCCGCAGCTACTGGGACTACGACTCGGTCAACATCAGTACGTTGCACAGCGCTGCGGCTCAGGCCGACATCATTTCGGGAGCTCTTGTGCTAACTCAATATCGTAGGTTGGGGAGTCCTGGAAAACTACGAGGTCGTCCGCAAGATTGGTACGCAGCCACCGACCCCCTCCCCCTTCCATCAGCTCAAGTCAAGAAAAACCGCGAAAATTTAAACCCCGCGTGAACTGAGACGACGCGCAATCTCTCGAATTGCGACTGGTGCTAACTCTTTTTCCCCTTTTTCCTCATCTAGGCCGCGGAAAGTACTCGGAAGTTTTTGAGGGCATCAACATTGTCAACTACCAGAAATGTGTTATCAAGGTCCTGAAGCCTGTTAAGAAGAAGAAGATTAAGCGAGAGATCAAGATTCTTCAGAATCTTGCCGGTGGACCCAATGTCGTTGCGCTGCTTGATGTTGTGCGCGATTCGCAGGTGAGCTCCCACAAGCAGGCCTCGTTCGGCCGGCCAATCCAATCCTCTTGCCTTGCGAGGTTAACCAAGCTGCTGCTACCACCAGAGCAAAACGCCCTCCCTCATCTTCGAATATGTCAACAATACCGACTTCCGTAATTTATACCCCAAGTTCAACGACCTCGATGTCCGCTACTATATTCTTGAGCTCCTCAAAGCTTTAGATTTCTGTCATAGCAAGGGAATCATGCATCGCGATGTCAAGCCACACAATGTTATGATCGATCACGAAAACCGCAAGGTACGCTCGCTCGTAATGCGCAATCTGAATAATCGCGCCTTTTATACTAACGCTACGTTCAGCTCCGTCTTATCGACTGGGGTCTTGCCGAGTTCTACCATCCTTCGACCGAGTATAACGTGCGAGTCGCATCCCGCTACTTCAAGGGTCCGGAACTGCTAGTCGACTTCCAGGAGTATGACTACAGTCTTGATATGTGGAGTCTTGGGGCCATGTTTGCGTCCATGATCTTCCGCAAAGAGCCCTTCTTCCACGGCCAGAGCAACACCGACCAGCTCGTCAAAATCGCCAAGGTTCTCGGCACTGACGCGCTCTTTGAGTATCTCGACAAGTACGAGATTGAGCTCGACGCCCAATACGACGACATCCTCGGCCGCTTCCAGAAGAAACCCTGGCACAGCTTCGTCACCTCGGAAAACCAGCGCTTCGTGTCCAACGAGGCCATTGACTTCCTCGACAAGCTACTACGCTACGATCACCAAGAACGTCTGACCGCCAAAGAGGCTCAAGGTCACGCCTACTTTGACCCCGTCCGCGATCCTGAAGTCTTCAAGCAAAACCTCGCCAACGCAAACAGCGACGGGTCGTACAAGACCTCTTGAGCGAAGCGCGCTCCGCTGCCCCTTTATGAGGGCAATCCAGTGGTATTCACCTGAGCGTATGCCGTTCATCTGGAGGGAGACCTGGACTTTGGCCTCACACAACTAGCTCATCACCGGCTAGGAGGCTAAGGTAACCAATCTCTTCTATTACCCACGATACCCCTCCTCCTGTGCCCTCACAGAACCACGCAGAGAGACAGTGTGAGACCGACGGATTTTCCATGCATTCCTCAACACGAGCACATAACAAAAAAAAACAGAAAAAAGTCAACATCGGCCCTTCAAGACGGATGTGCAGATTAGCGTGTATACCATGGACAAACTGGCAGTAAAAAAGGCAGACAAGCAAAATACCGGAGTTTCTCACTTTGGCGGGCAGACTGAGTCACAAATATAGAACAAACGAACACGCAAGATGGCGGCGGAAACAGGAAGAGCTGCGTACCCTGTACCTGGATGGCCGTTTTCACGACAGAGCGCTCACCCGGCCGTCAGGCTATGCAAAACCCTCGTTTCGGTTTTTTTTTCTTGGTCTTGTTTTCCGGGCGTTGGCGGGAATCAGGGGAATTATGGCCGAGTTTGTTATTTTTACACTGCTTTGGGGCATGGCAGAAGAATATAGTAGGACAAGGAAAACGAAGGTTGATGAAGAGAGCTCTCTTTCTTTCGCAGTGGCTCTTATCATTTCAGACGCAATTTTTTACGGTCCTCATTATGCCCTGCCTTGTGTTTTTTCTTTTTTCTTTTTTATTTTGCTGTCCGCGGTCTCTGGTTTGGCTTCCTTTTCTATTTCTTTTTCCCCGCTAATCTCTTGGCTTTCGGGTTTTTGTTTTCTTGGTTTGTTCGTTCCTTTTTCTGGTCATGAACTTCTTCTTACGACAGCGAAAATTTCTAATAAAAATATCAAAACATTTTGCATACACCAACGCTCAATCGTCTTCTAATACTTGTGTGATACTCGGGATGCATGGTCAGTCCCGAATTTTGTGTGTTCCATTATATAGGCGAACAAAAAAAAAAAGGCAAGATATTAAAATGTATGCAATCCAAAACGCGCCGGCTTTCCGTAGTGAAACCCATACAAAAAACAGTAGTTGATCATGGGCCGTATGGCTGTCCAAGCTGTAAATTTTGTCTTATAAACAGGTAAAACAAAAGTCCCGCCCACAAGTATACCCGTCAACGCCGCAAGTGCCTTGCTGTTCCGCCGGGGCGGTTGTGCTAGAAGCTGTGCCTGTAGACTTTCTTTTGCGTTCTTTTGCTTCCTGGCGATCTTTGCTGGACCGTGGCTTGTCTCGCGATGACATGGAACCCAGACTCAAGCGTGTCAAGGAGGAGGGTGGCTGCGATTTGCGGCGGGAGGAGCCATTGCGGGAAGATGCGCTTGTCTTCCTCGACAAGGAGGAAGATGACGCCGACGCGACCGCGTGAGTGGACTTGGGCGCCGCCGGTGTAGAAGGCTTCCTCTTGATGAAGGTTTCTACATCGTCTTCTCCTCCGCCGATAAGGGATAAGAGAGAACGTCGTGAAGATGACGAGCTTTTCCTAACATGGTTATCTCTACTGTCTAGAGCTGGTGTTCGTGATGAGCTCGAAGATAGCCGTCTCGATCCTTCTCTGGTGTTGCTGGGCGATGGTTCCTTAGATGTTGCTTTTGGCAAAGAGGTTCTCGAGTTTAAAGAAGATATTGACTTCCTATTCTCAGGCCGTTTGGGATTGCTTTGCTGTGGTAATGGGTGTCGTGACGGCGGCAATATGGGCATGCCATTTGAGGGGATTGGCCAACGATCTTCCTCCGCTTCAATTCCAAACGCGTCCGGCGTTGGTCTGACAGATACTGTATTGGTGAACTCATGGTTCGTCATGAGCGGCTCTTGCTCGGGTCCCTTTCCATAGAGTCTGTCCTTGACGGTGCTTTGTACAAACACATTTGTTGTTGGCTCCACTGCCTGGTTATGATCCATGTCCGCCTCTTCACTCTCAAGCGGGATGTCTGCAGCGACATCCTTAAAGATTTCCATACTCCCATACATAGGCGTATGCTCTTCGTCAACGAACAGTGGCTCGTCGGCCGTCTTCAATTCATCCGTGTTAGCGGATGGGGAGACCAGGTCGCTTAAGTGCATGTCCTCATCTGCCAAATAATAATCGTTGGTGGGGCTAGAAGTAGTATCTTCAGTCTCCGACATCACGTCAAGGCTGTCTAGGATATCTGCAGCCCCAAGTAGATTGCGGTCTTGGAGAGGTAGCTCTGCAGGTACGGCAGTCCTTGCCACCGGTCGTTCTGCTTGCTCGCTTGACGCTTGTTCGCTTCGGATATCAATTCCGCTATCATCACAATCCCCCCCAGTGGGAATGAGCGGTGCTGTTGCTTCATCCGGCTCGGTCGGGTTGCAGGACGGTGCTTGCATAGCTTCTGCTGTGTCCGTGTCGCTATGAGTGATTGGAGTCACCTGGCGCTCCGTGAGCTCGGCGGTAACGGTCTGCTTAGCCACCTTTGAGCAAAATTGTTTGGTCGCGTTGGCAGTTTCCCTGGCCCGAGCCACGGGTACTCGAACTAGCGATGGCTTCTTCTTCTCGCCTAGCAAAGACCGCTTCAGGGACGCAAGTAGCGCTGGGCTTTCGTCATCAGAAAGAGCATAGACTGTGTCCATGTAGTTTTCTCCCAGAAAGTTATGCACCTGAACTTCCGGCTTCTTAAAAGCCAACACCGAGTTCTTGATAGGGAAGGCTGCAGGTGCTCCATCGTCTGGCAGTCCTTCGTCATCCTCTTCAAAGTGTACCACGCTGTTGACATGATTTTTCATAGTTTGGCGCATAATCTGATTTGACTGTGGCTTTTTCGGCGTAGTTCGAATTGGTAGGCTTGTGACTGAGTCCTGAGAATCAGGTATCGTAGATGGCATTGCCTCGCCCGCTTCATCCGCGGCAGCTTTTGCAGCAGCGGCGGCGGCCTCTTCTTCTGCTTCTTGCTTCTCTTTTCTTACCTTTTCGGCCTTTTCGGCCTCTTCCCTCTCCTTCGCTGCAGCTTCGGCCTCCTCCTTTTCCTTCTTTTTCCTTTCTCGTCGCGCTTGCACCGACAATGCTCGCAAATGCATCTTGATTTTATAACTTGTGCGTCGCTCCGCGGAGACCTTTTCCCAGGATACTTGCTTGCCGAAATTGGCCGGTTTTCGATCACGCCCCGATCGCCTACGGCCTTCGGCAGTGGCGTCCGTGTCCTCGCCGTGTTCTTTGGCCATGGTCGAGCGACGAACAGCCCTGTCGATGAGCTCCTGTTGTATCTTTCGTAGCATGGTCTCGGCTTGGCCAGCGTCTTTCTCCATCTCGCCCGCTCCATCCGACTCAGTTGCTGAGGTTTCTCCTTTCTGTGCCGTTTTAGTGCCATTGCGGCCTCTTCTTTTCTTTTGTGTTGCATTCGACGCTTGCTGTAATGCTTCTGCTAGCTCGTTCCAGAGTGTATCGTCGTCATCATCGCAGAATTCACTATCAGGTTTCAGGTCAACCAGTGGTCCCGTATCTTCGTCCTCGCCTTCGCCTTCGCCGTCATAAGCGCCGATATCTGCAGAAACCCCAAGTGTCTCGGCTGATTTAGGCGGTCGACCTAATCGCTTTCCGTTCTTCGAAAACCGAGGCTGCGGAGGCCGCCGCCGTCGTTTGCGGCCCAAAGCATCAAAATACAGTTCCATCTCTGGCTGGCAATTGTCGGTGCTCTCGTCCTCTTGCGCGAACTTTCGTATTGCTCCTCCGATTTGTGCTTCATTTGAAGGGTTCTCTTGTCTTGGAGGCGCCATCTCTAATGCGGGATCTATTTGCAGCATTGCCTGGGGGGGCCAAGGCGCTGAGTTGTAGGCAAAGTTGTCGGTTGCCATCCAAGGGCCACCTGCCATCGCAGCGCCATTGGGCATCGGAATCTGGCCGGAGAAGCCGTCCCATGGCGATGGACTAGATCCCGGGCCTTGGAAGGCGTTGCCATACCAGCTCTGCATAAAGGCTGGGTGCACGCCGCCAGGAAATCCAGGCATAAAGCTAGCAGGGGCGGGAACATTGACGCCAAGATTATCGTTCAATCGGTCAGGATGGTAATCGACCGTGTCAGTAGAGTTGTTATGGGGCTCGCATTGCCCCATATCCAGGTGGTATGGCAGGTTGTCGGTGTGCACCAAACTTTCAAGCTGCGCATCGATCGCCGGGTCAACTAGATTGCCGCCTCCAGTAGGTATCACGCAAAGCGATGGGTCAATAACTTCATCTGACTGAGCGGCTTTTCCGTCGTATTTGTCGAATATCTGAGCGAGCGTTGTACGGAAGCGGGGGTCGGCAAAGGCTCGCTCCAAGTACTGCTGATATGCTTTGTCGTCTTCGCCTACATGTGGCTTTGCGTCTGGCGGCAGTATCTGAAGCTGTAGGTGGTTATCTGATGCTTGAAGAAGCGGCGGCGAGGCTGTACGCCGCCGCTTTGGCACAGGCTCGTACTCCATGACCATCCATCCGCAGGGCAGAGGTCAACACAGCTATGTGGTCCGCCAGATTCCACTATCGAGAGTGGTTTTGTGTGACATTTCCGTGTTTTGAGAGTTCTGGAGTTGTATATGTCGCGAATGGCGTCTCGTCTCGTCTCGGGAAAAAAATAACGGGAATGTCGCGCGGATGCAGTCGTTTGGCAATGTAAATAGACTAGACCTCATAGCTGTATCTTGTGGCCCACCGCGTTCGTCCCGTCGGTGGATACGCGTAGAGTGCAGGTACCTGTGTTGCCCACTAAACCGCGTCGCATTAGGCCCAGGGTAGGTGCAGGATCGCTGCCCAATGTAAATAGTTCTTGTGCGTGGATTGTGTAGATGTTGTCTAGCTGTAGTGAGCTGATGACAAGTCTCGTCAAATTTATTTCGAACAAAGGCTATTGTATGGTACTGCTTGGGATTCTGTAGGTCAGCGTGATGTACCCCACGCCAGGGGACTTGGTGCCATTCGCCCCCACTAGGTACATTTACGCACCCAGGTATCCAGGTACGTAAATATACCTACACCCACTGTAGGTAGTAGACACTCTCGTGACAACGTCATTCTAGACTTTGCACTGCTCAACTCCATGGCCAACAACCCGTGTCTATGACTCGCATCTACATAATGGACACGGCCTCATAAGAAAAGGATGTTTTGTCAAAAATGCCGCCAGCCTCTCAAGCTGGATGGCTCTCTCCAGGACCTAAATCCAGCAGCGTACGATCTTTTGGTTTGTATGTCACTGCCTCGCAAACATCAGCCTCTGCAAACGAGCGAAAAGACTGACCTGTCTATCTCCAGCTTCGGCATCACCACAACCACCCAAACAAGCAGTCGTCCAGTTTCCAGCCAAGTCGCAAATAGAGGAGCGAGACGCAGCCCGAAAATCACTCTACGAGACGGCGTCGCAAAGCGCAAGCAACCAGCCGACGTTCAAACGCCACCATGGCAGTAACCCGAGAGACCCGGCCATGTCCTTTATATACCTATCCGAATCACAGCTCGGCCATCACCATGACCGTACACAGTCGCCAAAGCAGCAACTCTCGCCTCGCGCGTCGGCGCAGTCCCCGACCAAGCCGCCGCTATCATCCGCGAGCCCGATCGACGCCGCACACCCCCCGCGCGAGGATGAAATGGGCCGCGTGAATCGCCTCTTTGAGCTTCTCACCGCGCGCTCCGACATTGACTACCCCATCTGCATCGAGTGCACAGACATGCTCGTCGAGGGCCTGCAGCGCAAGCTCGACGCGGCCGCACGCACGCGCGACGCCTACGTGGCGCACCTCAAGGAGATGCGCGCCGCGCAGCCCAGCGAGGCTGACAACAAGGCCGCGCGGGAGCGGCAGCGCAAGGCCGATGTTGAGCGGGCGGTCGCCATGCGGGAGCTCCAGCGTCTCGAGGCCGAAAAAGACGCCCTCGACGAGGAGATTCTCGCGCTTGAGGACGAGGCGCGGCAGCTCGACAAAGATGAGGCCGCGTTCTGGGGCGAGCGCAACGCCTTTGCGGCCAGGATGGCCGACTTTCAGGCCGAGAGGGATAGCGTCAACACGAAATACAGCAACGACTCGCAGCTTTTGCAGAAGCTGCAGCGCACCAACGTCTACAACGACACATTTTGCATCAGCCACGACGGCAGCTTCGCCACCATCAACGGCCTGCGCCTCGGCCGCCTGTCGAGCAAGCCCGTCGACTGGCCTGAGATCAACGCCGCCTGGGGCCACGCGCTGCTGCTCCTCGTCACCGTCGCCGACAAGCTCGAGTTCCGATTCCAAGGCTATGAGCCACAGCCCATGGGCAGCACGTCCAAGATTATACGCTTCGACGCCTCCAGCCCCGCCGCCAGCCGCGTCGACACCCGCGCTGCATCATCATCATTGTCCCGCCCGCCCGCCGCGCCGAAACGAAACGTCCTCGAGCTCTACAGCTCTGGCGGCGACCTGCCCCTCGGCCTACGCCTGCTCCACCGCGGCTTCGACAACGCCATGGTGGCCTTTCTCGAGCTCGTCCGCCAGCTCGGCGACCACATCCACCGCAAGACCGCTCACACTAGCCGCCAGCTAAGCCTCCCGTATCGCATCGACGGCGACAAAATTGACGACGTCTGCATCCGCCTCGGCATCGCCCAGGACGACGGCTGGACAAAGGCCTGCAAGCTCACCCTCACCTGCTGCAAGTTTCTCCTCGCCCATGCTAGTAATGTTAGCACGGCAACGCGTGACTTGGACTCGTGAAGGCGGGTTGGCGGTCAGTTACGAGATATTCGGTAGATAGAGTGACAACGGCGGCGCAGTACGGTATGTATATAACAAGGGATGGTTATCGCATTGTAATGGCTGGGATACACCACACATAATAAATACACGAATACAAAAATACTTTTGAAACCCTTTAAGTTTGATGAGTCACATTACAAACAATCCAAGGCACCATTGCATGAAAACTTGATTCGCGCTGTTGAAAACTTTTATGCGATGGACAAAGAAAAAAATTGCAGTGCTGGAAGGACCAGTTTATTTTATTGTTTAGCTTCCCTCCTCAACCCTCGGTCGTATTTTCGATTCCAACTACCTGTTTACTTTTAGACATCCTCCGAAAACAACTGCTATCCAAAAAAAACAAAAAAAGGCCTACACCAAGAAAGCCAGTAGAAGCAAAAAACAAATACAGTAATATGATATAAGTAACAATGTGAAACGTAAGAAACGTTTAAAATGCAGTCTTTGCGTGATTGTTTTACCACCATGTAGAGAACAATTACTTCTTACCAACAATGGTAGCCTCTAGCTTGTCCTTCTCGCCACTATGCTCGCACATGTCGCGGAAGATACTGCCGTCTCTCTCCCAAAGCTCTCTGGGGCTGCCGTACTCTGCTACGGTGCCTTCACTGAGCACAAGAATCTTGTCAAAGTCAGCAATGGTGCTCAGACGGTGCGCAATGACGAGCAGGGTGCTGTTGTCGAATTCCTCGCGAATACTGCGCTGGATCAGCGCATCCGTAGCCATGTCAACGGCTGACGTGGCCTCGTCGAGGACCATGATCTTAGGGCGGGAGACAATAGCGCGAGCAATGCAGAGCAACTGGCGCTGGCCCTGGGACAGGTTGCCGCCGGACTCGGAGATGCCGCTATTGAGGTCCCGGAAGATGTTGGTATTTTGCGGGGCGACGGTAGAGTTAGACGACGACGCAGGTTCGTTGGCGGGGGTAGCGGGTTGCGAGTCAATGAGGTGGACACGTTGAAGACATTCCCGGAGCTCTTCGTCCGTATACGTCTCGAATGGATCAAGATTGGAACGAATAGTTCCAGAGAACAGAACGGGGTCTTGTGGAATGATCGCAAGCCGCGAGCGCAAGCTATGAAGATCAATCTTGGAAATGTCGACGTCGTCAATGATGATGGAGCCGGAACGGGCTTCCAGGAAACGGAAGAGAGCAAGGGTCATAGAAGACTTTCCCGCACCGGTTCGACCAATAACACCAACACGCTCGTTGTTCTTGACTGCAAAGGAAACACCCTTAAGAACGGCAGGCAGACCTTCTGCATAACCCACAACAACATCCTTCATCTCAATAGTGCCGCGCGTAGGCCAGGCAGCGGGGGGCTCTACACCGCCCTGTTGTTCCATCTTCAATTCAGAGTACTCCACGACGCGCTCAGCAGCGTTCATGTCAAGTTCCAAGCCAGCGTAGGCTCGAATGGCAAAAAGAATGGTGTTGGCAAAATCAAGCGCAAAGGACATGGCGAAACCAGCCATGGCAGCGTTAGCCTTGGTCAGAATGATGACAATACCAACGCAAGTAGTGAATACAGTGCCGATGGCAGCCATTCTGATACCCATCCAACGGTTGAAGATCCAAAAGTGAACCTTGTTGGTATTCCAGGTGTCAAGATGGTAGTGCATGCGTTTGATGTAGTCTTTGTTCTTCTGGAAAGCACGCAGTGTGGAAACGCCAGATAGGGTAGTGTTGAACAGCTCAAAGACGGGTGACTTTGAATTACTTTCGAGACGTTTCATAGGTCGGGCACCATCCATGTACTTTTTGCCGATAAAAGCGGCGCTTATAATGAGCAGTAGGGCGAGGGGCAGAACAAGAGGAGTGACCAGAGTCGAAGCGGCACAGACAGCGACAATAGCAAGACATCTGCCGATGAAAAAACTGATACTAAAGCTCAAGCGGGTATCGATGACATCAAAATCGGCAGTCATGCGGTTAAGAACTCGCCCAACCGGAACAGTATCGAGCCACCTCAGGGGCGTGCGGACAACAGTGAATAGAATCTGTTCAAAGAGCTTCTGGCTGGCCTTGAGACTCATGGTAAAAGCCCACAACATACGCAAGGAGCCAACGATACCGCTCGCCAAGGCAATAGCGGCGTAGATACCGAGATAAAAGCTCAAGTGCTGGTCGTTGTCGTGAACAGGTGCAGCGGAAGCATGGAGGCTGCCATGCTGCAGTGAGAACATACTAGCTGTGCCGTGCGAGGAGAAGGTATGAAGAGACGTGGTTGAGTTGTTGCCAGGTGTGTCGGCGTTTCTTCCAGTCCAGATCTGTAGCCACCAGTTGCGCCCAACATTCCCAGCTTCGTAAGCAATGTAGAAGAAGCCACAAGCGATCCAGAAAGGAAGACCACCACTGGCGTTGATGTAAGTAGCATAAACGTGATGTTTAACAGACCCCTTTTCGATTTTTTCGTCTTCAACAAATTTCTTAGCACCCTTGGAAGGGACTTTTTGCAGTTCATTTTCAGCGTCGGAGGCTTCTTCAGAATTGACCATGGTCTCGGCGTTGGCAGCTTCGTCAGCCTGGATCTCAGCCTCGGTTTGGGTGTGGCTGCGGATTTTAGAGAGAGTGCCGTCTTCAGCTAGATCACTAGTAAGACCAGAGTGAAGGACAGTGCCCTGTCCAAGCTCAACCAGATACTTGGTCTTGGACTCGACAAGAGCAACATGGTGAGTGACGAGAATACGGGTACGACCTTGACAAATTGGGCCGTCAATGCACTTCTCAAAGATTTGTCGGCCAACGTGCGCGTCGACAGCGCTGAAGATGTCGTCCAGGAGCAGAAGTTCGGCACGCGAGTAGACCGAGCGAGCTAAAGTCACGCGCCATTTCTGGCCACCACTCAAATTAATACCATTGGCGCCAAGCTCGGTCTGGTCGCCGTCCTCAAGGATGTCAAGATCCTTGCGCAGAGCACAGACTTCAATCACGGTGTTGTAGCGCTCCTCATCGTACGGCAACCCGAAAATGATGTTGTCCCGGAGAGTGGCATTTTCAAGCCAGGGGTTTTGGCTGACGTACGCGATAGTGCCTGGAAGGATCCAATTGCCTTTGTGCGCCTTATCGTCGTTGCGCTCAGCCAAAGCAGGCACAGTTGGCATGATAACCCTACCAGCAAGGAGATCAACTTCACCGATGAGAGAGGACAGTAAGAGACTCTTGCCGGTGCCAGTTTTTCCAGAGACGACAGAAAGTTCACCCTGGGGAAATGACAAATTCAGGTCGCGAAGGACGAATCGCTCGTCTTCAGGAACCTCGTCGTCAACGGGCCAGGCGATAGACGCATTGTCGAGAGCAGCATCATGACCGCGGGTGATGATGTCGGTCATCTCAGGGCCCTCGAGGTACTTTCCAAGTCGGCGAATCGAGATGAGGGTGTCGAGGCCATAACCGATAAACTCGGGGAGGACAGAAAGGCTCATTTCAAGACTCTTGAAGATACCAATGGCGACGAAAGCGACAGAAGGCTTGAGGGATCCGTTCAGAATAGCATAGACAGCTAACGAGACGACAGCGAGCAGAATGGGGCTGACAATCCAGCAGGTAAAGAGAATAAGATCGATGGCGAAGATGTAGCGGATAGTGCCGAGCTCCTTCCCACGCTTGGCCATGATACGAGCAGACCACTCTTTCTCAAGAGCGGAGAACTTGATCTGTCGAATGCCAAGGAGGGCTTCATTGATCATGGCGAGCTTCTCGTCACGAATCTTCATGAGCTTGTCCTCTTGTTTGAGATAAATCTTGGAGGCGTACATGTTGATTGGCAAGACAATAGCCCATGCGATGACACCGGCCAAGTATGGCTGGTAGCCGATGAGCTGAATGAGGAATACGGAGTAGAGAATCAGCTTGGAAATGGCGTTGATGATGATGAAATGCATAGCAAGGAAATCGGCAATGCGTCTCGAATCGACACCGACGAGGTTGACAATGGCCTGTCGCGAGCGAAGAACAGTTTCGTCCTTGCCATCCTTGCCATCCTTGTCATGCTTGTCTTTATCGTCCTTTTTGGCGTCATCGTCGCCAGCCTTGTTGGCGTCTTCGTCGGTGTCGCGGTTTTTCTCAGCAGTCTTGACATTTTTGCGTCGGAGAGACTTTTCAAAGACCAGGGCAGAAAGCTGGGCAGACATGGGGATACCCATGCCAACAATGGCATACCAATTCAAATAGCCGTCAAGCCACTGCTCACTGATGCCGCACAGTCCGAGACCAACAACGTGAGGCCAAAAGTCAGCAAATTTCATTTCATCACGAGGCGTATTTTCGAGCTTCTGGATGAGCCTGAGGAGGATGATGTAGGGAATCATGCCAACGGCTACACGGAAAAGGGTGCCAGTCCACTGGACGGCGAAGCGCCAACCATAGACGCGAATGAGGTTGCGAAGCAAGCCGGCACCAAATTTGAAGCTCTCCCAAGCCTCGACGAGATTCTTGGATCGAGCGTAGCTAGGGGGCCGAGGAACGTCGGTCTGTTTCAGGTCGCCCTTTTTGCCTCCGAGATCAAGAGTCTTGCGGCCCCAGCCCCAGGTGAACCTACTGAGGGCATGAACGCTAAAGTTACGATCGACAGGCTCATCATTGTAAAAGACGTCGGGGCGTCGGGGGATAAGTGTGGAGGCGATGGCGAGAAGCCCGGCAGAAGCGAGAGTGCAGATACGCAGGATGAGAGTGATGTCGCTGTGGAGAGACTGGTATTGACCGACATGGTTGGCCTGGACGGTTCCGACAATAATATTGACGAGGGAGCCGAGGAAGATACCGAGGCCGATGTCATAGACTTTGATGAAGTTGTGGTGAGCGCACATACACGTAGCTTGCAACAGGATGAGAATCTAGTCATGGGAAAGGGGGGATCAGTTAGCATGAAGGAAGAAAGATGCATCTCAAGGGTCTTGAGGTTGGACCAAGGGTAGACTCACCCAAGCAGCGGTTGTGAGCCAGGTGGACCAGAACAAGCTTCCGTGAGAAGGAACAGTAGTATTGAGGATAGCGAGAGCAATTGACAGTGCGGCGGTGGAGGCGGCGAGAAATGTCACTGCGAACTTGCTGGCCTTGTTGGAAAAGGAAGCGATGGACTCGGGGGTAGCGACGCCATCGTGGTCGTGGTAGAAATTGTCCTTGGGAGCACGGGATCGGATCTGAGAGACGATTGCGGACAAGGCAGGAAGTGTGGTTATAGCTGCAACAGCTAGTCCAGCAGCCGAGGCCGTGAATAGCTGGTCGTGGTGCATGATGCAAGCGCACGAGGCGAGAAGCAAGACTCGGCGAAGGGCTGGTGATGGCTCTCGAGGACGACGCAGCAAGAGAATTGGGCGCTGGTCAGCCGCTTCGTCGTTTGTTACGGTCCGGTCAGGGTCGCGGTCGGGTTACGTGCAAGGCCGAAGGTAGCAGCGGCGGGTCCGAGCTATTACGTCGTAAGCAAGGCCGTCAGCAAGACAAACGGGCTCGGTGATGCTAACTATGGTTGATGGCAATGGCAATGGGGAGCAGCCAAAATGAAGCACGTCCAGATGGCGGAAAGGAAGAACTTCTTAGGGAAGAGACAAAAAAGAAAAAGAAAGAACCCGGATGATAAAAATGTCCGGGGTTGCGCAGGGGAGCAGGTAAGGTAGGTAGTTAGTCTTATGACGTGCACCGCTCAGCCTGGTTCATAATTACGGTTGAGTCGAGGCCCGCAGGCGTTGAGGTGAACGGATAAAGTCAGTCAGTCATACGGCCAGACGGCGTACCGGCAGCCAGATGGGGACGTTAAACGAGCGAGTCTAATTACTAAAATGAAAAAAAAAAAAAATTGAAAAATGAAAAAATGAGAGAAAATAAATCAGAGCTAAATGATTATTCTACAAAAGTGCCAAGAAACGATGGGCAAAAAAAGTACCGATTTGCAGCTAATTGTGTGCAGGGAATACATACATGATACATGCATGCGGCTGGCGGCGCTGGCGGCCGGCGGGCAAAGTTAGTCACCAAAAAGAGTGGGGGTCGGCGGGGAGGAGGCAGTTGGCAGCACCACCAGGCTGGCGACAACTTTTCAACTAACTAGGTACCTATTAGTTCGTTCACAGATGACAGACAAAGTACCATGACTCTTTGACACGGCGACACCTTATCAACAGAAATTACCTTTTAGAATTCCTTGCTGTCTGGTAAACTTCCATCAGCCCCTTCACTAGTTACACAAACCAGGCCCGGCTCACATCGCTCCACCCTCTGTACTCATGCTCGCGGCTGCCTCTGGGTCAAATTGGCGGAGGTGGGTTGACATGGGTCTGACACCGTCGAGATGGACGGCTGTATGACCTGCCTCTTAACTACCTAGCTTTCTTCTCTTCTCCTCTGATTTCCGGCGTCCAGGTAGGGATTGATACCCCAGGTCCGAGATGGCGGGGGCGACAGATGACAGATTCTCAATTGACGGAGGCAACATGATTCTACTTTTGGCATATATATCAGGACGCAACGGCAATCGGCTAGAATGCAGGCGCAAGATGCTGCCTGGCGGCCGCCAAGGAATACGGCACAAGCCATCCCGCAGCGGACCGACTCTCTGCTCGTTTGACTGATACATATGGAGTAATCGTATGGCATTATCAAATTCCCAACAATCACTCGCGGCTGAGAATACCAGATGACTCTAACAATTGTACTCATGTAATTGTTGGTGACTCGTCCCAGCATCTCCAAACGCAACGCTCGGCACCGTATTGCCACTGGTTCGGAGGAGCTGTGTGCCACCAGTCAGCTCGTCCAAAGCGCGCAAAACTCTATGGTTGGCCGGCATGCTGAAAGAGGCAGGCGACGAACGTTGAAACGTGGGGCCTTTGCAATGGGCGGTGGGCAATTGGCTTGTGGCGGCGGCTCTGGAAACAAAAAAATACCCCCATGTAAGAAACCAGGATCATCATGGCTTGCGACCCAGACGACCTGTCTCGTCTGTTAATCCTGGCAAGATGGTGACCCATGTTGCCATGCCAGTTTTCCATTTTGCGCCGGCCCAAGACTTGACCACAGCTGGAAATGCCCGCCCATAGCCTACGTGTAGTAACCAATAGTAACTAATAGCAACTAATCACTGTAGCCTCGTCCTTGGTAATTTTCATGTCCGGAGTGCTTGTGAGGAAGTTGTCCGTGGCGAGTGCGCCACACCACAACGGGCAGCGCTGGAAGTCGTACCCGGGTCATGTCCAACACAGATTTCATCGTCGTTTACGCATAGTTTTATTACTGCGATCAGTCTGTCAATGCAGATTGAACCATGCCAGAGTAACTACTAAACCGCAAGAGTATTGAAATCTTACTTGCAAGGCCACAAACACCTCATCGGAGCTAATACGAATATCCGTACGTGCACCGCGTCACCAATTGGCACTTGTGATGATCAGTGCGTATCCCATCTCCGTTGTCCGTATTTACAGCCATCTCTCTTCTTTTACAATTACGGACCGAGTAAACTTTGTTCGAGCAGATCTCGCTGTGAATGCCCACTAACCTCCATTCAGCGAACCCACTGTTTGTTTGGTTGAAGCTCACTTGTGAAGCAGCACCATATGGCGATCTCTTCCGTCTTCTTCATTGCACGCTTCCCTTCGAATCTTGGCCGTGGCAAGCAATGCGCCGTGCATACGCTAGTTGGTTGACTGCATCAGGCTCGGCGAGTTACTCAGCCCGCCCCTGTACGGCAGAAAGCTCCGGCCAACCCGTGTGCATGCTTCCAGCCCCGTGATGCTTTGGAAGCTGGGTCCTGCGGCATCGTGGGCTCGGGTGTCGTATATGGCAACGTTCTGTAAGTTGTATAACCTCAAGGGCGCGCCAGTGCGGTGTTGAGCCTGCGAACACGGCACCGTGTTTTACGGAGCTTCTGCTGGTGACATGATCTTTACTAGCATACCTCGGGCTAATGAGCGTTACACGGCGACAACATCATGCATGCTTGTTCGTGCCTGTCAGGACGGCCCTTCGAGATAGACCGGTGGCATTTGTCACGGCCTTGGTTGTTCTATCTCGCTGATCAACAGCTTGCACCCCTTCACATCCGCTAGTGGTGACCCAGGTAAGCTAAAGACCCTTTGACCGCCACGACATTACAAAGTGAGTGACTCACGTTCTGGCATCAAATGTACCTGGGAGAAGCTTGCCGAATAGTGTCTTTTTATTGTAGATGTGCACGCCTCTCGTTCCCCAAGGCTACCTCGTAACTACATAAGGTCAACTGTAATTAGACGCTCCGTTGTTCATCAAGCAACACGCCGTACCCCTTAGTAATTTATGTATTATTTGTTGGACTAGACCTTTCTCGGCGATCGATTTGTCTTACTGCCTCGTGAGTGTCAGCCCCAGACGAGTGCCTAATAAGGACTATCTCTCAGCCAGAAAGCTATGGCCTTGGAGTCTATCAAAGAGACTATCGGTGGTGGGTTACAGTTCCTCGATATACTAGCTTTGTTTTCTTTTTGCAGCCTGGGAAGTTGTCCTTGTTGCTCGGTTTCGGGACGTGACGCGCCCTGATGCAAGCTCTTTACGCGCTTACCCTGGACGCGTCATGCGAGTATAGACAGTGACGATCTTGTTGTGTGCAAACAATGCCGCTATATTTGTACGGCTACCAAGTATATATGTTGACTCTACTATGTTCTTGACTGGGCTTTTATGCAAGCTGGGCTTTATTATGCTGCTTTGTGTTGTGTTCGCGTAGCCTTTCTTTTGTGTATGCGCGTGCTTGGCCGAGACAGGCACAACTAGTCAGTAATTCCAACCCCTCACGCGGACTCCTAATGACAAGAGAATCATCAATTCAATAGCGATGATCAAATTGAAGCATGCCATGTCTAATCGTTAGTAGCCATGGTTAAGAGACAGAGTGGTTCCTATAACTTTGCCACGGCTGACGCGTAAGAGGAAGTTAGGTGACGGGCGAGTACGGACTACAAGGAACAGGCACAGTACACGTGTACCTGATGAACCAAGGCGATAAGCAGCATGAAGTAATGCAGACGCAAAGGTGGTTATCGTGCTCAGCCAACAATGCACTTGTGTGGTCCATGGTGATGCAGAGACGAGGTTCCTCCACTGTCACTGTGGGCGTGTTTCTGGTCGCTGTTCAATGGCGGCTCACAGCTAATCTAGTAGCGCAAGTCAGCACAAATCACCAGCCACAGCCACCATGTCACCACTCACCACCAACCAGGCTCACAGGTACCTAGGTACCTGCAGTGGGACTAGTTAGACGTGCCGCCGACCGTGACAGACGTGCCACAACGTGCCTGCTCACACCACTAACAGCTCGCCAACCCAACACCAAACCGAGCACTGCACGTTGGTGAAACAGGGCCAATTCGGCGCTGCGATATTGACGTTACGTCCTCTATTACCCGCAGTCCTGCTGCGCTTCCGTCTCTACCATACTTAATGCCCTTGATCCCATTGCCATCTTCCCGGACCCAGCCATTTCGTCGTCGTCACTGCCAACTTTTTCTTCTTCTACAAATCACGCGTTGCAACCGCCGAAAATCCAAGCCACGACAGCCACACTCTCGTTTCGCCGCGTCGTTTCTCGGCCGTCACCTCGTCCCACGTCGTTCGCAGCCTTGACTTGCTTCCATCAAGCGTCCTGTCCATCGATCCCGACCTCCCCTTCATGTCACCCACGACAGGGCCTTCATAGCATCCTGTCGTCAAGATGAAGGCCACACCCCTCATCATCAATTGGCATGAGCAAAACGCCCCCGTCTACTCGGCTCACTTCGAGCCTGGTGGCAAGGGTCGTCTGGCTACTGCTGGTGGTGATAACCACGTTCGCATCTGGAAACTCGACGCCAACGGTACCGATCGCAAGGTCGAATACCTTTCAACACTCTCCAAGCACAATCAGGCCGTCAATGTTGTCCGCTGGGCACCCCGAGGTACATTGCAGCTCCCAAACAGCGCCTGCACGCCCTCTTCTCCCTGCCAAACGGCGTTACTAACCGTGTCTCCCCCCTCACAGGCGAACTGCTTGCATCTGCCGGCGACGATGGAAACGTCATTCTCTGGGTCCCCAGTGAGCTGAATTCATCAAACTTTGGGTCTGATGGTCTCGATGACAAAGAGTCCTGGCGTGCCAAGCACATGTGTCGCTCAAGCGGTGCCGAAATCTACGATCTCGCCTGGTCTCCCGATGGCGCCCATTTCATCATCGGGAGCATGGACAATATAGCTCGAATCTACAGTGCCACAACAGGTATGTACATCGCTTCCAGCGTCAACCAACCACTGTTGTCGAACCGCCGATGCTGATGCCACTGCACAGGGATACTCGTTCGACAAATAGCAGAACACAGCCATTACGTCCAAGGCGTCACATGGGATCCGTTGAACGAATACATTGCCACGCAGTCGTCCGACCGATCAGTCCATATATACTCTCTCAAAACAAAAGACGGACAATACACCCTTAGCCACGAGGATAAACCTCCCAAGCTCGCCAGCCACATCAAGGCTGACCTGCCCCCGAGACGAATTTCCTCCAGCAGCCCTGCCCCTCCCGACTTTGGTCATCGAGCGCAGCTGTCCGTCGTCGACTCGAATACTTCCATAGGATCACCAGTCCCGTCAGCACCAGGAACACCAACCTCGTTCCCTCTACCCATGAATCCGCCCAGCGTCGTTAGCCACAGTCGCCGATCCTCCTTTTCGTCTCGTCGATCCGCGTCCCCAGCGCCTTCGTTACCACTGCCCGCTGTAATGCCCATGGAAGCGTCCCCCAAGCCTCATGCCTCCTCTTCTCTTTTCGGACTTGGCATGAAGAATGCAAGCCTTTACGCAAACGAGACTCTGACTTCCTTCTTCCGACGTCTCACCTTCACCCCCGATGGTAGCTTGCTGCTCACACCATCTGGCCAATATCAAAACCAGCACCAGACAGACAAGGATGCAAAGCCCACATACGAGGTCATAAATACTGTCTATATCTACACAAGAGGAGGCATCAACAGACCGCCCGTCGCGCACCTCCCGGGCCACAAGAAGCCGTCCGTCGTCGTCAAATGCTCTCCACTATTCTATACCCTCCGTACCGCCCTTCCAACCAAGAACATCACCATTGACACATCCTCTGCCGAAGAGGACATTCCAGCGCTGCCGGAGCCTCTTTCGCGACCAACGTCACCCGCACCAGTTATGGAACCGCCGCCGCCACCTGCTGCTGTTCCCGATGTTACGTCAACACCAGCTAAGCCAACTGGCGCCGCAACGAGTGCTGCCACGCCAGGTCCCAAGCCAGCCTTCTCGCTGCCGTATAGAATGGTGCTTGCTGTAGCCACCCAGGACTCTGTTCTGTTATATGATACGCAGCAAAAGACACCAATCTGTGTCGTCAGCAACCTGCATTGCGCGACCTTTACTGATCTTGCCTGGTATGAAATGACTGTTTCAACCGCTATTTTCTCCAACTAACAACATCTTAGGTCAAATGATGGACTTACATTACTCGTCTCGTCATCTGATGGCTTTTGTTCAACACTATCCTTTGCACCCGGAGAGTTGGGAGACATATATCAGGGCGAAATCGGCCCACCAGCTAAGATACATGCCAGTGCGACCAACCATAATACCCCCCTCGCTACGCCCACGACGGCTTTTGCTCCTCCGTCACCTTACCACAGCGGCTCGCATCATCATAATCGCAACTCGACTAGCTCGTTCACGGCGCCGTCGCCCCCAGCTTCAGTGAGTGCCGCCTCACAGAGGCCGCCCTCGCCGGCGAGATCAAACTCGACATCGTCTATAGCAACTCAGTCCTCCTCGATACCTATCGGAGTGGTCAGTAACCCTACCCTCATAGCAGGGACTGTGCCAACCGTCGCCGCCACCAATTCAGGCAAAGTGACTGGCGTTCCCATGACGACTCCACCACAAACTCCCAGCAATGCAGTGACTGGCAGCAAGAGAGATGCAACCGACAGCGAAAAGGAGGATGTTAACGAGCCCAAGAAGAGAAGAATTGCACCGACTCCAGTAAAGTCAAAGAACTAGCAAAGGCGAAAAAGGTTGCGCGACTGAGTCTAAGGCTTGCTGGCCTTCGACATTGGTAAACAGTTATTGTTAGTGGCGTTTCACGAGGCTGTATTTTAGTGGAAAAGGTTAACAGGGTTGTCACATTGTGATATTCGTTTGCATCTGTTGCTGATCCTAGGGCTAGACATTTACCACACTTTTGCAACGTGCAGGAAGGAACAAATGATGGATTTGCACAAGGCCTTGGTTATCGGGTCTGAAGAACTATGTCACAAATATAATCTCTGCTGTGCTTGAAGAATGCGTACATTTCCTTGACTATGTCTTTCAAACTCGATGACATTTTAGACTTGGCTAGTTGGCTCAACGTGTAATCAGCCCGGTAAGACCCTCGGACAGCTGTAGATTCACTCAAACGAACCCGACTTGATGAACAATTGGACTGACCTGGACCAAAAAACTAAAGTACCAGTCTTGACCACCATGACTGATAACTGTGACCACAATGTGCAGGCTCATTCAAACAAGAACCCATTAGGCTAATGACCTAGCCTTTCGCACCAAGTCGCCTTCTTAACAAGCTTGGACTTTACGACACCGCCTGTGGCAGCACAACCCATTCGCCGTTTACCAAAAAAATCACAAATCATGCGCAAATTTTGGGTCAAACTCTGCCGACCTTTCTTTTTTGACAAATCGCAAGCCTGGCATTTGGCAAGTTTTGCCCGGGTGCCAGGGACCCCCACTGATTGCCCCGATAATACCAGCAGCCCGGCCGAAGGAAATAAGATGCCGGGCTACGGACTACCCACAAATTCAAAGAATGTTGCTGCAGGCGAAAACCGATATCGCTCTTATTAATACCAGTCCAAATCCTTCGCTGCCTTTGTATTTTGCACCTTGCTTTATACAAACATACCATATTTGCTCCCAATGCTATAATAATACTCAGTGCTGCCAATATCGCAGCGTGCATCAACATCAGAATGGGCCTTCCAAATCAAAGCCCGGCAGACGCCGGCGCCACCTCCGACCGGCTGCCGGCCGACACGCCCTGCGCGCCCCAACCCAGCCGGCCGCCGTCCAAAAAAGTCATTGACGACGACGACGACGACGCAGAGGCTGCATGGGTGCAGGCGCCGGCGACTGAAGCCGCCGGCTACCTACAACAGCCCTCCTCCGTACTGGCAGGCGCTCCAACGGAGCTCACCCGCGTGGCGTCGGCGCCGTACACCGTCTTCTCGCGGCGGGCGCGGGTGGGCATCACCGTAATGGTGTCGTTTGCGAGCATGGTGTCGCCCATGACGTCCAATATCTACTTTCCCGCGCTCGACTCTGTCGCGCACGACTTGGGCGTGTCGCTGAGCCTCATCAGCCTGACGCTGACGACGTACATGGTCTTTCAGGGCATCGCGCCGACGCTGCTCGGCGACTTTGGCGACAAGGCCGGCCGGCGCCCGGCCTACGCGCTCTCCTTCCTCGTCTTCCTCGGCGCCAACATTGGGCTCGCGATGCAGCGCGACTACGCCACGCTCATGGTCCTGCGGTGCCTGCAGGCGGCCGGCAGCAGCGGCACGCTGGCGCTCGGCTACGGCGTCGTGGCCGATCTCGCGCCGCGGTCCACGCGCGGCAAGTACATGGGCTACCTCGGCGCCGCCATCAACGTCGGCCCGACGCTGGGGCCGTTCCTCGGCGGCGTGCTGTCGCAGACGCTCGGTTGGCCCTCCATCTTTTGGTTCCTCGCCATCTTCGTCGCCGCGTTTCTGATCCCCTGGGTGCTCTTTGCGCCCGAGACGGGCCGCAACGTCGTCGGCAACGGCTCCTACGCCGCGCAGAAATGGAACCGCCCGCTGGTGCCCTGTTCCAGAGACCGCAGGCCCAAGGAGGAGATGCCGGCGTCGCAGAGACCCCAGCTCTCCATCCCGAACCCGCTCAGCACCCTCACCATGGTGTTTGAAAAGGAAATGGGCTGCATTCTGCTGATTGCGGCCGTGATTTACCTGTGCTTCATCTTGGTCGCCGCCACAATGGGGACCCTCCTCAAAGAAATCTACCACTACGATGATTTGCAGGTTGGGCTATGCTATCTGCCGTATGGATTGGGCTGCTGCGTCACGTCGGTTGTCCAGGGCTACGCACAAAATTGGAACTATCGCAGAATCGCCAACAAGGTGGGATTCGATCTCAAGTCCAAAGAGAATGGCGACAAGTTCCCTATCGAAAGGGCCAGACTGCAGCTCATTTATCCATCCATGCTGGTAGGGGCGGCGGCGTTGATAGGATACGGATGGGCGCTGCAAATGGAAACCTCGGTAGCGGTCCCACTGGTCATGGTCTTCATTATCGGCATGATGATTCCGACATCGCTCAATATGATTACAACGCTCATGGTTGATCTCTTTCCCGAGGCGCCGGCCAGTGCGGCGGCTGCCAATAACCTGGTGCGCTGCCTGTTTGGTGCGGCGGCAACTGCTATCATTACCTACATGCTCAACGGTTTGGGGCGAGGCTGGTGCTTTACGATTTTGGCATTTCTCATGTTCGCTTGCGTGCCGTGGGTTCTATATATCGAAAAGGTCGGGCCGCGATGGCGTGCAGAGAAGCGCCAGCGGCAAGAACAAAGAAAGCTCAAGGAATCGCTATGAGATTTGTGCGATTCCGAGTGTAGGAGCAACTAGCATCGTCCCGACAAGCAGCATATCTGCATACGTTGAATTTTGCATTGATAGACGCATTTATAGACATTACCATGACTCGAATTGAATACTTTATAAAGCCGGGATAGCATGCTCTATGGCCTCTCTTTGAGCCTCCCACATCAGCCAATCTGATCGCGTCGTTCTGTAACCGATTAGCATCTCGTAGAAATCCAGTCTTGATCAAGCAGAGCACGTACGGCAAAAGCCCCATTCCGTTTATTTTCCAAATACCCAATGCCAAGGCGCCGAGCTGCATAGCCACGTATACAAGCTTGGTCTGGAGAATCTTTCCCGAGTTGGTCTCGGTCTGGAAGCGCTCGAAGGCCTGGTTGGTATTGACGAGGCCCATGACGGGGTTCTTGAAGGCCATAAAGACCATCATGATGCTGAATATTTGCAGCGAGTTGCCGGACATGTACATCATGATGAGGGTCATGGGCAGAGCCTTGGCGGGCGCCAGAGCAACTTCCCAGGCCTTTTTGAGCTTGAGAGTATCCATTTCATCGTGTGTCGGGGGCTTTCGCGGCGCGATTTTGGAATCCTTTTGCTTCTGCCATTGTCGAGTCGGGTTAGCATTTTCTTGCCAAGTTGCTTACGCGATTGGTCGCTGCCAGCGCGGGACAGGAAGCGCGCACCTTGTTTCCACCGGAGCCAGCGAAACCTGGCGGGTCAACAATTCCGGGGGCCTTGGACTTTGCGGTTGGAGGTGACTGTAGCTGCTGAACCCATTGAGGAACGGGAAGGGTGCTTGAGGCCATGGTTGATGATGGCGCGACAGTCGAGTACAGCTTTGAATGGTAAAGGTCCAAGGCAAGCTTGCAATTTGAGGCTGTCGTTACCTGGAAGGTACTAAGGTGGCCCACCAGCTTAGCTGAGCAACGCGCTGTATTTCGGCACCAACTGCTGGCCGGGATATTCGGCCGCCAGAGACGGCCTTATCGATTACGCTGAGGAGCTCGCCTGGTCCCCCTTTCCACGGCTGATGCGTGTCATGATGAGAATGTAGACGCTGCAATCAACAAAATTATCCGACACCCGCAAACACCCCTCCGCCACGCCAATCCTATCAAACGAGCGACGCCGTCCATACCACGACCCAAATCGGGGAGCTGCCCTCTCTCAACCACCGTCCTCGCCCCTGCATCTGCATCCCAGGACCCCTCCTAAAATCTGCGGCGCGCGGCGCACGCTGAATTGCACTAAAAGTGACACCTCTTGGGTGAGGGGACCTCGACCATTTGCCGCCCGACCATTTCTCCTTGCCGGAATACGCACTCCCGAGCGACAGGCACACACCAGCCTCTTGTCGCGTGACAACAGTTCCCGACCGACTAACGCCCTCTGCGCGCGCGGGGTTACAAATACCAGTCGCCCATCATGTCCTCCAAAAAGGATGGCGCTGGCGACTCCAAGCTATTTGCTCGAGTAAGCACATCACTACCCGCCTTCAGTCGTCATACATCTGTCGCTTGCCTGGCCTTATCCGGCCCTTGCCTGTGACTACCCCTCTCGCCCTCATATCAGTTCCCCTCGCTATCCTCTGCACACCATTCCCTGGAGCATGTAGGCCGCTGTAAAGTGCCCTGCATCGACAGCATATATCATGGCTCTATTCCTGTACTACAATCCGCCCCTGAGGCTCGAAAAACTAAGATTTGGACAGGGCAAAGTTGCGGAGCTCCGCCTCGAGCTTAACAGCGGAGGCAAGAAGGATAAGAATTATTCCATGAAGAAGATTGCCCTGAAGCGAATAGTTGCCAACATGACCATGAGCAACAATGACATGGTTGCACTTTTCCCTGATGTCATCGGCTGCATGAATCTTCCGAGCTTAGAGATCAAGAAAATGTTGGTTCTACGGCGCCCACTGACATACACTGTTACTGACAAGTCTCAGGTGCTTCCTCTACCTGGTCAACTATGCTCGCGTGCGACCGGAGATCGCGGTAAAAGCGATCCCCGTATTGGAGCTTGTGAGTCTACTGAAACTGTACGCTGCGACGATTTGGTCTAATGTATTCGGCTCTAGGATATGGAAGACAGCAACCCATTGGTGCGAGCTCTCGCCCTGCGAACCATGTCATACATACACGTGCGAGAATTCGTGGAAGCGGCTGTGCCAATCGCCAAGCACATGCTGCGAGACTCGGACCCGTACGTACGCAAGACGGCCGCCTTTTCCGTTGCTAAATTGTACGATCATGACCGAGACATGGTTGAAGGATCGGATCTCATTGAGCGTCTCAACTCTCTGCTGCGAGACGATAATCCGACCGTGGTAGCCAGTGCACTGGCTGCGCTTATGGACATTTGGGAGAGAAGTGACGCCATCAAACTCACAATCGACTATAGCAACGCTTCCAAAATGGTTGCCATCTTGGCAGATTGTTCAGAGTATGCTTATCGTTGACATACCGGTGGAATTCGCTGACCTTGGTTACAGATGGGGTCAAACTTACATTCTAGAAGCGCTCATGTCGTATGTGCCACAAGAATCTGGGGAGGCCTCGCTCCTGGCTGAGCGCATCTCCCCTCGCCTCTCACATTCCAATTCCGCGGTTGTCTTGACCTGTATTCGCGTTATCCTCTACCTCATGAACTACATTGCCGACGAGAAGCAAATTTCTACCCTCTGCCGCAAACTGTCGCCACCGCTGGTAACTTTGCTCGCCAAAGGGCCCGAGGTGCAATATCTTGCTCTACGAAATGCGCTTCTTATTTTGCAGAGACGACCTGAAGTCCTCAAGAATGATATTCGGGTCTTTTTCTGCAAATACAACGACCCAATTTACGTCAAAGTCACGAAGCTAGAGCTTATCTTCATGCTTGCCAATGAGCAGAACATTGACGAAGTCTTGACGGAACTGCGCGAATACGCCACTGAAATCGATGTTCACTTTGTGCGAAAAGCCGTGCGAGCCATTGGAAAGCTGGCTATTAAGATTGAGCCAGCTGCACCTAGATGCATCAACCTGCTTCTGGAGCTCGTGGCTACAAAGGTCACATACATTGTTCAAGAAGCGACAGTTGTCATTCGAAATATTTTCCGCCGATACCCCAACCAATATGAATCCATCATCAGCACGCTATGCGAGCATTTGGACTCTTTGGATGAACCAGAAGCAAAAGCAGCCATGGTGTGGGTCATTGGGGAATACGCGGATCGCATTGAGAATAGCGATGCGCTGCTGGATGACTTTTTATATGCATTCACAGAGGAGCCAGTTGAAGTGCAGCTAGCTCTGCTCACGGCTACCGTCAAGCTGTTTATCCAGAGACCGACGAGAGGACAAGAGCTCGTTCCCAAGGTTCTGAAATGGGCTACTGAAGAAACAGATAACCCTGATTTACGAGACCGGGCATATATGTATTGGCGGCTGCTGTCTACAGATGTCGGCCTGGCGAAACAAATTGTCATGGGTGAGAAGCCTCCCATCACGGCGGAATCGGAGAAACTGGAACCGGCTATTCTGGAGGAAATGTGCCTCAACGTGGGTACGCTGGCGACGGTCTATCTCAAGCCTGTTCAAACAGTATTCCGTACAGCGCGAGTGCGGAAGCTGGCCGACTCGCCCGCACTACAAAAGCAGAACCTGCCGACGGATATTGACACCAACAAGACAATAAGCATGTTTGGCAGAGGTGGACAGCCGACAGACATTGACCTGAGAAGTCGCACGGCTGGTGGGACGAACGGCAACCAGCAAGTCCTCAACGACGCGGATGCATACTTTAATAGCGTTGCGCCGCAGAAAATGGCAGCTTTGAGAATGGATGCGGGTGACGATTTATTTGGCGGCGGCAATGTGACGGGCTACGTGGTAAATGCGCACGCACCGCAGGCTGTGATGCAGCCAACGCAGGGATCGGGAAGCAACGGCGACCTTGTTATGCTTTAAAAAGGGGCAGATTTTGTACTAATAGGACTGAGGTTAGCGATACGGACGTCTACTACTGTTGAGACGAAGAAAAGGAAATTTGTGGACTGGTAGTATGCGCTTTGCTTGCTTTGTGTGACGACTGTGTGATTGATTGGGTGAAGGATGTGCATGCAAGCAGATGGGATTGCATCCGTATAGGTACTAAATGTAGTCTGATTGCTTCTCTATGGCATGTCACCCTGCTCACACCATTATCGATGAGGCGTTGTGGTGGCTGTATAGTTTGACAGCCGGCGCAGCGGGCGGGGATCGACGTGGTGGTGGCTCGAACGTCAGGTGGCCGGCGCCCAATCTTGCATGCTCTGGAACAAACTCGCAGCCTCCACCGCAGTTGGTTATTTCGTCCATTTCAGCTTACCATGTCAGTCATGGCATGGCTCGTCATGAGCACCGTTGCAGGCGGCGGGCGGCGCCAAGTCACTAGCCAATGTCTGGGCCGTGGGGTTACGTAGATGTGTAGGTAGCTTGTGGTTAGACGAGCATTAGCCAGGTCATAAGCGTCTAGCTGGCCTGGTGGAAGATGCCGAAAATAGTCCACTGTGACATTCTCTGTGTAGAATACAGGTGGATTGATGCTTTTGATTGCTAAACTACGAGGGGCTTGAGTACATACATACCCTACCTTAGATCTAGACCGGGGTACGGCCAGCCATGCCGCCGCCTCTCACTGTCACCGGGAAAACCTTGCATGATTGAGTTAGAGAGTGGCATGGTCTGGGATGGAGAGCATTGTACGTTTTACTTGAAGGTAGAGATTTTCTCCCTGTTCAAAATCATGCAACATGGAACTCAACGGTTCGGTTGCGGCGGAAGAGTGCTGTAAAAGAGGCGAATTTGCAGGTGTGGCCGGCGCAGGGACTCCACTGGCTGGCTATAGAGAGGGCCGGCCGGCGGCGAGAGCCTGCGGTGCCGACACAGGGCAGGATCTTTCAACACAGATGTATGTATGAATCTCTTAGGGTGCCAGGGGCCAAACAGGCCGGTAGCACAACAAGGCTTAACATGTAGTAACGAGAAACCAGGGCGAAGCAACACCGTTGCGTTAGTTAGAGTTTGCCTCTGCTGGTCGATGCTGGCTGCGTACGGTATCGGGCCATCCAACGTGTGGTGACGCGAGAGCTTACCGAGGAAGAGCTGAGGGTCAAAGAAGAAAGTTTGCTCAGCTCATTTATTATTATAATTTAGCGAAGAAAAAAGCCTCGTTTTTATTGATGGATGTGATCGGAAACAGAGCGTCGATGTACTAATTGCAAGCAGGGCATTTAGTGCCTCCAAGGTTGGTATTGGTACAGGCGTGGATGCCCCGTTTAGGTACTTCTGGCTGGCTCCCGTTGCAGCCGGAGGTTGTGACGCCTCGATAACCATACTATTACCAATAGGTAGGTTTTGGCACTTGGAAGTAGGTGAAGAGAATAAATGGACCTGAATAACCACCTGTTATAGCTACCTACCCAATACCTAGTACTATCTCCTCGTTTTTCTGCGCCTCGTCTCTGCAGCCCAGGCCAAGGCTTGTGCACAACCAGTGACCACGCACCACCATGCACCCCCCTCCAATCTGCAATCAGCCAATCCACCTCGAATCTTGCCCATCACCCATCCATCACCCTTCCCTCCTCGAAATAACCCGCTCCAATCCATCTTTGCTCCTGCTCTTTCATCCTGCTCCTCGATTCAATCATTCCCCCCAATCGCCATCCATCCCGTCCCAACCGGTCCTGTAGCCCATTTTATTTTAATCCCCTCATTGACAAGTGCCTCTGATCGCCCTCCCACGCTAGGCTCCTCCGCTGTAGCCGCATCCTCCCCGTCCCCACCTCGCGTGGTCAAACCATCCTGCGACTCGCAACCCAGGTTGGCTTCGCCATCTTCAACAAGCGCCTCCAAACACAAGACGACTCTCCAAAACCATCCGTCTTATTATTCACCTAAAGTCGAAGAGCCACGCATCTTGAATCACGACTGCCGGCCACGAACTGCAACCTCGCCTCTTCCGTCCCTGCCCCCTATCAGGCACATTTGCCATCCTCCCCCAGCATCGTGGTCCAACGCATCGATTTGTCTAGTCCGTCTCCTCCATCATGTCTGCTGCCGCCACTTCGGAGACGGCTTCAATCAAAGCCACCGGTGCCCTCGCGCCCGCCGCCGGTGCCATTGCCGCCTCGACTGATTCGGTTCCTCTCGAAAGCATTCGCCGCTCGACCGAAGCCACGAGCTCTGCGCAGCACGTCGCGCCCGACAATGGTCCAGGTCCCGACGCCATCGACACCACAAATATGCCCGAGCAGACCTCAGCGGCTTCTGCTTCCACCTCTGCGCCCGAGGTACCGGTAAAGGCGGGCAATGGTGTCGAAAAGGGTCCAGAACCGCCCGCCAAGGAGGTCGACGACGCAATCGGCCCTGCTCAGGAGCACATCAACTCTGGCGCCTCAACAGAACCTGGTGCCCCTCCCGTGTGCAACATTACTCTTCTCTTGACGTCTGGCACCCGCCATCCCTACAGACTCGATGCCAAGTATCTATCTCGAAGAAACGTGGTGATGCCTGACGAAACCGAGCACGGACATCCGGATCCCTTCAGTATTAGTATATATACTCTCAAAGAATTGATATTGAGAGAGTGGCGGAGTGATTGGGAGCCCAAGCCTGCAAGTCCCAGCAGCATACGTCTTATTCACTTTGGAAAGCTTTTGGATGACAAGGAGCAACTCAGGAGTATGTCCAACGAACTTGTGAAAATGCCTACTCCACCACACGAAACTAATCTGATGACTCGCAGAATATCAATTCAGCCAGGAGGCCCCCAACGTGGTGCACATGAGCATCCGACCTCAGGACCTGGATGAGGAAGAGACCAAGCCAGGCGGTAAGAGTCTCGGCGCTGGAAGTGGTGACGGTTCACGCTCAAGATCCGGAGGCTCGTGCTGTGTGATTCTATAGACGGCCGCCGTGGATAAATACTTGACACATGCGCCTGAAGACGGTGCATGTGCCCACCAGTACCGCCACCTCACCTCACCATGTTATATATCTCATGCTCCGTGGATGCAGTCTTGAATCTGCAGGAACACGGCACAACCGCCAGAAATAAGAAATACAAAGGCTACATCAGCCACGGCACACAAAAGAGGCTTTGGCGACATTCATTACCCTTGGGGTACCGACACATACAACCTGTGTCATTCCTTTTACATACACATTTTGGACAATCATATACATCGCTTACCGTGAAGCGACTGGGAGCCCTCTTTTATTTGCCGAAAGATTTGGGGATTTGGGAGTCTTGAACTCGGTCTTTTATTCCTGTTTCTGTTTGATTCATTTTATAGCGTTGCTTTTTTACGAGCCTTTTCTGCCTGTCCCCCCTGTATATTTGCTTGTATTTTTTCGTGCCTTGTGCCTCGTAAGGGCGTGGCAAGGCTACTTGACTTGGGATGGTATTCACACTGAGAAAATAACAGGATACAACATAGGTACTATTTCGCCGGGCCCAGCTGCGCTGAGCGTGAGACCATGTTAGCACCTAGCGCCTGAGCTGAATTGGCGTTGGTCATATTATACTATTTATCAGTGTTTTAAGAATGTCACTGGTGTGATGTGATGTCAATTATCATTGTGGCAACGAATGGTATGTGTTGTACATGAAACATTTGACCCCGGCCAGCTGTTGAGGTCAAGTCATTATCCTCTTTATTGTTGCATATCGCACTTGTCTATCCGAGCACCATGTTCTATCTAAACCTTGCACTTCTTCTCCATTTCCTCGTGGAAGCCGGCGACGCCTCTCGATTCGTCGCCGGTGAAGACGTCCTCCCAGGTGATGGTGTCGTCGCGTCCGCGAAGAATGTCCTCGTGGACACTGGGGAGGCCGGAGCCGAGGACCAGGGGCCGCCAGGTGCCGTCACGGACAGTCTTGAGCTCCATGCCGCGGCGGAGGGGCTCGGCCATGCCAAAGGTGCGGCGGAGCGACTCCATGCGCATCGCCTCCTGCGAGGCCTCCCAGTTCTTGAGGCGCGACTCGAGCGGGTGCGCCGACGTGACGCGGCTCGTCTGCGCGTCCCAGGCGGACGGCCCGACGCCGTACCGCAGCGTGTCGTGGAGGCCGGGCGCCGAGGGGGCCGAGGTCGAGGCCTGCTGGGAGGCGCCGCCGGTGTGGGAGTAGCTGCTGGCAGCCTCGTTGCCGGGGATGAAGCGCATCGACTTTGGTGAAGGTGTTAGCGAACTAAAATTGCGTTGACGAAGGGGGGGGGTGAGCGAGTGGTGGGATGGAGATGGGCGGTTGGGGGAGGACGATGATGGCGAGGAGAACGGGGAGGCGTGAGGTGTAGAGCTTACCATTGTGAGGAAGCGCTGGGGTTTTGATTGTATAGAGTTGGTTGTATTTTGTCGCTGCGATTCGGGATGGAGACAATATCGGGACGTGTCGTGATGGGAGGCGCCGGTGTTGATTGATGGTGCAGCTTACGTTTGCCTGTGCTGGAGAAGCTTGGGATGCTTGGGATCTGGCAGGCTACCAGCGAGCTTCGTGTACAGGGGAACTGTCCAATCATAGCGTGAGCTGCAGGGTAAGACCCATATATCTGGTTGCAGACCGTCGCGGACGCTGTGACGCTGGCGGGTGTATTAAGAAGCGGCTGGAAAAATAGTAAGGGTAAAAGGAATCGAAAACTCTTAAACCGACGGATAGTCGTGGAATTCTTGGTAATAATATGTTGACTGTGCATGGTACAGTTTCGATATGATACTGCACTAGGAGTGACAGCTCCCGCCAGCCAAAGCCGTGCAAGAATGTATGTGTTCATCACAGTAAATATGAGTAGAGAATTCCCAGCCAATTTTCAAGGAATTGACCATTAGTACTAGAAGACACGGAATAGTTTGATAACGATCGTCGTTGTCGCGAATGGGCGGCTCGAGGCTAGCGCATCCAAACACACTGATTAGGTAGGGTTGGAATTGCAGTGTACAGCGAAGTGATGATGAGCCTTGTTGGAGAATAAGGGTACTCTGGAGATTGCTGACGGAGCAGTAGCACTTGTTATTGAACCCGAGCCTATTGGTGCGTACTTTTTGCTTCTTGGGGCCGCGCCGGGCAGTGGCAGTTGCTGGGTAGCTTCACTGACGAGCTGAGCTGCGGGAGAGATGATGGGTTGGTTGTCAAGCCTCTCCAACCAACCAACCACAATTGAAGAATTCATCCACTAGTCATAACTTTGTGTTCATGTCAGTCACTAATGGGAACAATCATGCTAGTTACGGTGGTGGGTGGCGTGCATGTTTGTCTTGCCGTCCCAACGACGCCGAATGCAGTCTAGACCTCGATCCGTGTTAGTCGTGCGATTCAAAGGATTCCCGTCGATGCAACTGCGCCGTTTTCTCTTCTTCCAATCTTCCCATTACCCTCTTGAAGCAACTTCCTTTTCTCTTTCCCGTGCATCTCCACATGCCCAACTAGACGACACACGCACCAGCCAGCTCCCTTCGGGCATGTCGCGCGCCACCAACTCGGAGCGCAGCCCGCTGCTGCGCATCCAGAGCCGCCAAAGCGACGCGCGATCCGTCGTCTTCTCCGCCCCCCCGAGCACCGCCCATGTCGCCGTCGTCTGCTTCCTCATGGCCGCCGCGCACCAGGCCGCGTCGCTGCTGGCCGAGCTGGCCGCCGAGGACCTGCACCGCGCCGCTGGTGGGCTGCTTGTGCTGGAGGATCTCGATCGCGTCGGCGCCGGCGAGGCAGTTCTGGCGGCCGTCGCGGCCGTCGTCACGCCGATCCCGATGGGAATCGCGGCGGATCGATGGGGCCGGAGGCCATTTCTGGTGCTCCCGCTCATGGGCAGCCTTCTCAACGTCGGCTCTAGAATGTTGATATGTATGTTGGATTTCTCATGGTAACAAGCAAATAATTCTAATGGACAATCTGTACAGACGGGCTCCCACAGGTGTTTTCCCTCAGACTAACATGGCTCTCGGCCTCATTCGAGCTCTTTACTGGTGGCGGAACCGCCTTCTTCGCCATCGTATACACTATCCTTACTGACGTGACGTTAAAAGCTCAACGGTAATTTCGTGAAAAACTCCATATGCCAAATAAAATATTAACATTTCTCTACAGCTCGACCTGTTTCTTTCATCTCGCGGCATGCAACATTCTCGCTGCGCAGATCGGGCTTAAAGTACGGGACCTTATTACTGACAGATTTGGACCCTGGTCCGTACTGATCGGTGCCTTTGGCGTCTTTGTATTTGCCACTCTATGCGCATTCTGCCTGCCGGAAACGGTGCATCTGAGCTGGACTGCTTACAACGAAGAAGCCGTCGAGGAGGAAATCGCTGCTCAGACTGCCGCGCAAAGGATCCGCGTTTCCTTGGCTGCCGCTTATACGCAGTTTACCACGTCCATGGCGGCTCTTTTCTGGCACAATAAAAGACTCGCCATTCTTTTGCCTACGCTTCTCGTCATGGCACTCAATGCACAAGCTATGGGGTCATTAATTCTATACGTCAGCCATCGCTACCGTTGGGCGCCTGACAAGGTACGCTGCCGACTACGCCCGCTACTAGACTTAAGCCTTTTATTAGACAACTGACCATGTCCTCTACAGGTAACTACGATATATGCTGTAGAAAGCATCTCCCACTTCTCGCTCAATGTGTTAGTGCTGCCTCTGGCGGCACATGCACTACTCTCCTCCGGTTTCTCTGCGCGACAAACAGACACAACCTTTGTTCGCTGGGGCATTGTGACTGCTGCCGCTGGTCTCGTCGGCATTGGGCTGGCCCCAGACGTTGGACTGTTTATGGTAGCGCTGGCCCTATACGCCCTCATTAACGCCTACCACGGCGGCATACTGGGCCTCTTGTCACAGCTAGCCTGCAAAGACCATACAGCAGCCATGTTCGCGACGACCAGAGTCCTTGCAACCACAGGCAGCTTATTGAGTGCGCCGCTGTTTGATGCCCTGTTCAAGCTTGGGATTGATAGAGGCAAGGCGTGGTCGGGACTACCATATCTTGCCCTTGGTTGTATTTGCTGTCTATGCGGTGCTGTCGTCTTTGTAGCAACCTCTGGTGGATTTGACCGAGAGGCTGAGGCCGAGGATTCAGACTAGCGACATGTACATTTCTGACTCTGTAATTCTACTAGTGTTGTAGTAAAATGGATATATCAGCGACGGCAAAGTTTGCAGCATTCTACTTGATACCTATGTGTTGGCCGGCCTATTGTGACGGTGGTGCAAATCGCCGATACCGCGCCCAAGTCAACCCACTTCCCTGTCCGCCGCCAAACGGCCAGCTCAACCATCCATCGACACTTGCACCAGTTTTTACCACGACAAATCGGACCGTATCAGCTCGAATGCTTCCAATTGGCGCGCCATGAAGCCCTCCAACGCGCGGCTGCCCATCATCCGCATCGCAAAGGGCACTTTCTACCGGCGCCACCCCAACGCACTCTCGGAGCACCCCAACCCGTCGCTCTTTAGCGACTTGACCTTTGAGCTGCCCTCGAGCGCCGCCGCGCCACAGCAGCACTGGTGCATCGTCGGCTCCTCCCTCTCCGGCAAGACGACGCTCCTGCAGGCCCTCCGCGGACGCTTCATCTGCGACCCGCCAACGGCGCGGTCCTACCCCTACCTGTCCTCGGACGCCGTGTCGACGCGCCTCCGGAGCCCCAACCGCGCCATCCAGTACGTGGGCTTCGACGCCGACGGCTCTGCGTCGGCCACCGCCACCTCGGCGTTCCTGTCCGCCCGCTACGAGTCGCACCGCGAAATTACCGACTTTTCGCTGCGCGACTTCTTGCTCGGCAACACGGAGCTCAACCCGCTCGAGACGTCGCTGGACGGCACCGTCTTCCCCGCGCTGCTGGACCGCGTCGTGGCGGACCTCAAGCTGCACCACCTGCTCGATCTTCCGGTGACGTTTCTCAGCAATGGCCAGGGTAGACGGGCGCGCATCGCGCGGGCGCTGCTGACGCAGCCCGAGGTGCTGTTGCTGGACGAGCCGTTCATGGGTCTTGACCCCCCGACGGTGTCGGGGCTCAGCCCGCTGCTGCAGTCGCTCTCAGAAAAGGCGGGCCCGAGGTTGATTCTGAGCGCGAGGCCACAGGACCCGCTGCCGGAATGGATCACGCACTTGATCTACCTGCGCAGCGACTGTCAGATTGGATCCATGGGCCCCAAGGGCGTTGTGCTGGATGGGCTGCGTAGGTATGTCCAGGGCGTGCAGGCCGGTACGTTGGCCGAAGACAAGAAGATGCCACTGCAGACCTTGGCCGAGGTTGGCAAGGTCCTCTCCTCTACGGGCCCTTCCTCTACAGCGAACAGCAAAGGCGCCACGATACAAGAGTCTACCTCGAACGCGGAGCCTCTGGTGGAAATGGACGGCTGCAAAATCAGCTACAAGGACAAGGTCGTGCTAGGAAACTGGACACAGCAGATAGACGGCCAAGACAAGCAGGGCCTCGTGTGGACCGTCCGCCGCGGCGAGCGCTGGGGCGTCTTTGGTCCCAACGGCTCTGGAAAGACCACCATTGTCTCCATGCTCAGCTCCGACCACCCCCAGACATACTCGCAGCCCGTCAAGCTCTTTGGACGCTCGCGCATCCCCGAGCCCGGCTCCGCCCAGAGGCCGCTCACGTTTTGGGATATCCAAGCCCGTGTGGGACACTCGAGCCCCGAGGTGCATCAGCACATGCCTCGCGGGCACTCCATCCGCGCGGTTGTGGAGAATGCGTGGGCGCTGACATTTGGCACAAAGGCCACGTTGGACGCAGCCTCGAAACGAAAGGTTGACGTGGCGCTGCGCTGGTTTGCGCCGGAGCTGCGACCCGTCAGCGGCGCCGGCACGACAGCCGGCCAAGAGGATGACCTCAAGTGGGCAGACGACTACATGTTTGGCGAAATGTCGTTTAGTGCGCAGCGCGTGGCGCTGTTTATCCGCTCCATGATCAAAGGCGCAGACATTGTCGTCCTGGATGAGGCGTTTAGCGGCATGGACGATGCCGTGCGCGACAAGTGCAGCCTGTTTCTTACCGCGGGCGAGACTAGAACCATTGCTGACGGCAAGGTTGTGGAGAGTCAAATTTCACAGACGGATGACGTGGCCGTGGGCGGCTTGACGGACCAGCAGGCGCTCATCTGTATTGCCCACATCAAAGAAGAAGTGCCCGACTGCGTGCGCGAATGGATCTGCCTGCCAGAGGCCAACACTGGTCTCCCAGCGCGATTTGGCCGACTAGAAGGCCCATTGAGGAGCGATGACAGCCGATGGCAGTCGATCTGGGGGTTCGCATCTGAATAGAAGCAAGAGTGGCTCTGTTACTGTGTACGATAGGTCGAATATACAAGAGGAGCGGCAAGAGTTGCATCTGCGTCATGCTAACAACTACACATCAGCATTCGGGTCTCCGTTATATTCAAAATTATACCCTTTTCTGTCTATCGCTCTCATAATAATGATCATTTTCAAACTATATTCAAAGAGTTCATTTACATCATGTTCACATTGCACACCAACTCCTGCCCCTATGGGCATGGAATTTCTATCCTCCGGCCGCCAGGAAATTTCATGGTGAGAAATCGACTCCATGAGCACTCTATTACTTTGCACCGTCTATCAAAATATATCCTGCCAACGCTGTTTGATCGAGTCAACAAGAGCCTGCACGTCTGCCGCGCTGTCGGCTGCAGCCTCGCCCTCAACGCCGTATCCTTTGGTCTGCCACGCCGTCTGGAACTCACTCATCTCCTTGTGAAGCGCTGCAAAATCCAGCCTTCCGCCATGATTCTCTGCCGCGTCCACCAGTCTGTCCACAAAGATGCGCCAGCGCTCGTCGTAGTACGTCGCGATGAGCCCGGACCACGCCTTGGCCGCGTAGTCGTTGAGGAGCGTCCCGGGCGCCCAAATGGTCACCTGGCTGCGCGCCTCGTACGCGATCGCTGCATTCTCTCCCGTGCTCTCCCCCCACGCGCGAGCCGCGTTCAGCCACCGTCGCAGCGAGAAGTGCGGCTGCGTCGCCAGCAAGGCGTCCACGTCGCCCAGGACGGCGCGCATTCTCTGGCCGCGCTGGGCTATCTCTGATGGCGGCGCGCCTCCTGTAAACGCCGCTACGAGGTCCGCGTACAGCCTTCCAAAGGCGTTGCTCAGCACCTGGCGCATCACGTCGACCAGGTCGAGGCGGAATCCGGGCTCGGCCCAGAGGCGCGGCTGGGCGGCGGCGGCGGCGACAAAGAGGCGCCAGATGGGCGGCAGCGCCGCGGGGTCGTAGTGCAGTGCGGTCGGCTTGCCGGTCGTCGTGTTGTACAGGCCGGTCAGGTTGGGCTCGAGCTGGTAGACGGACACGGGCACGCCGATGAGGTCCGAGGCGCGGTAGTCGTAGACAGTGACGCGCAGCAGCTCCCACGCCTGGTAGAGCGAGGCCGGCAGCTGGCGCACGCCCGAGTACCGTCGGGTCGTCCAGTCGTGGAAGTAGGACACGGTGTCAATCGGCGTCGCGGACCAGCCCTGGTCGAAAAAGAGGTCGTATAGCACCTCGTTGCCTTCGTAGGCCTCGGTGGCTATACCTAGTCCGACCATGGAGTCAGACTCTCGCAGTGCTTCCATGGGATTGACAGTCGTGTTGGTAATCTTTCCGAAAAGATTCTGGTTGCCGCCGAAATCATGCACCTGGCACCAGATCCAGGGCCGGCCCGCGTAGCTCCCCGTCCGCTGCCACTGCGGCGCCGTCTCGCTAAACAGGTCGAGAATGACCATTCCGGCTCTGTCCTCGGGCCCGCGCAGGTACGCCTCGATGCGCTCCTGCGTCCAAAAGTTCCCCTCGCTCAGGTAAAACAGCCAGCCCTGCATAAGCCAGACCGCGGCCGGATTCGCGGCTGCCAGTGCGGCGTACGAACGCCGGGACACGGCGGACAGGTAGTCGGTGGCTCCGGAGACGGGGTTGATCTCGTTGAACTGGTCCATGGCGTACACGTTGGTGACGTTGCCGTACGCCTCGATCTGTGCCTCTACGAATAGCCGCTGGAGCTCAGCGTACGCGTCATCGAGCGGACTGAGGAACAGGGCGCGCGTGTTGGGGCTGTCGGCGGGGAGGCCGCCCCAGGCGGGGGCCCGGACGAGGTCCGCGCCGGGCCGCAGGCGCGCAAAGGCGTCGGGCACGAAGCCCGGAAAGGCGGGCAGGATGGGCGTGATGCCGAGCTGGACCATGCGCGCGACGATGCGCTTCTGGAGCGCGAACTGCTGGTCAATCCACGACAGGGACAGCGGCCGGCGGCCAGCGTCGGGGCCCCAGGTGCCCTTGATGTTGCCGAAGCGGTTCCAGGGCTGGAAGGCCGGGCCACTGAAAAAGGCGAGGATGTCATCGTCGGCCATGCCGAGCTGGCGGAAGCTGTCGAGATAAATCTTTTCGTATCCTACCCAGGCCAGCTGGAAGTTGACGCCGTGCAGGGCGGCCCAGTCGAGCAGCTTCTCCCAGTCGCTCCATTGGTACCAGGCGAAAGAGTAGGCAAAAGTCACTACATGGAGAAATATCAGTATGGCTTGTACGTTTTGTAGCTACAAGTGCAAAGAATTTACCAGTGTTGAGGTTGTAGCGCCATGGAACGGAGCTGGAACCGGCAATCGGTTGTCCGGGAGGCGGCAAATGGCAGGGGAGGTGATGGCTCTGATCAAAGAACCAGAAGTCATCAATGTGAAGCACCTCATTCGCATAGTGCCGCAAGCTACTTGTGAGTTAGCCTTTGTTCACAGCCGACTTTCAAGTTGCTGGTTGTACCCGCGAGCCAGAGCACTCAGACTGGTGCCCCGGATATGGATCTTGCCGCCCTTTGTCGCAGACACTGTGTAATTGTCGTTGATCGGCGCGTTCCACCGCGACCAGTTGCCGCTGTTCTCTGACAAGGCAAATTCGAAAGCGTCTCCTTTTCCGTCCAGGAAGCGATCCGCCAGCGCTCGGATGCCGTCTGTCGGGGCGGCGTGGCGAACAAGCCGCCACTGACACACAGAGCTATCAGAATCCTCATGGCGGGAGAAGTTTTGACAAGCTTCCGCTACCAAAAAAAAAGCATGGAAACGTTACATCGAAGGGGACAACCAGGCGCAACTCGATCCCTCCTTTATATACGACGAGGATAGTCGGCTCGGGATAACTACAAGTGTACTAGTGCTGGCGGCTTGCAGGTGGCGCGAGCTGCAAGGTGCTGCATAGCAAGCTTATACGACAATTTACGGGATATCAGGGTACGCCTGCCGGCCGTTGATTCATCTACGTTCTGAATGTCCGTCAAAGAAACTTGGTCGAAATTTGGAGAATCCAGGCTGTCTTGACTGGACCTGCTCTACTATGGACCTTGGAATGACAAGGCCGAGCGTATACGAGTGTACTGGAATACTTTCTGGGGCCCCTATAGACATCTAGTGGCGAGATTCTGATAGCTATAATTATCTTGTCATGTAAAATTCATTTACTGGTCAACAGTACACAAAAGGCCCGGCGGAGGAGCCAATGCAGCAAGTGGGCGCTTAACACATGATCTAGGCTCGAGTTACAAAAATTGCTCCCGACAACTTTGTATGAAAGAAATAGTTTTTCTGTTTTCCGTTTTTTTTTTAAAGAAAAAGAAAAAAGAAAATCCACTTGTGTATACTTCAGATAAGAAGTATCTTTGTTGACTTGTGACCGCGGCTCCGGAATGACGCAACCCCGCCAGTTCATGACCTAGACGCCAAGCCGGACTTTTTCGACTTTGCACGGGCCTCGGTTCTTCACCATTCAGCCGCCCAGCAAGACCCCCCTCGGCGACCAGAGCGGCAAAACACCCCCTTGACGAGTCCGAAATACCATGTCGGCCGCTGCTCCTCAGGTCGACAACGAGGCGCAGACGACGCGGTCCTGCGTGCCCATCTCGTCGCTCTACCAGCCCGTCCACGTCGGCCAGATCGGGTGAGTCTCCTCCCCTGGTTTTCGTCCTCCGCCGAGACGGAAAACCGGGCGCCTATTTTAAAGATAAATAAAAAAACAGCTCACACCGCGTACAGAGCCGGGCATGCCGGAACGTCGACCTTTTTCCGCTGGCCCATCCTAGGCGCGCTGCTCTTTGACAATGAGAGTAGCGACGCACGCGACCACTGTGCCAACGAACGCAGTAAGTAAAGAAGAAAGAAAGAAAAAAAAAAAAGGCAGCCAACCGCCATGTACGTTGTATAGACTGACCAGATGGAATAGCATTCCTCTCGTACCTGCGGCTGTCGGTGCTCATGGCCATTGTGTCCATGGCCATGACGCTGTCGTTTCACCTCAAGCAGCAGCCCACGATGCTCGAGAAGCAGATTGCCAAGCCGCTCGGCGCCATCTTTTGGCTGCTGGCCGTTTTAATCTTGACCGTGGGCATCTCAAACTATATACGTATGCACAACCCCCTCCCCCTCCTCCGAGTTCTCGTCGTTTGCTCGCGCTGTTGATACTGACCGACCCGGCAATAACGCAGGCACTGTCAACCTCTATAGCAAGAGGGCCGCCATTGTGCAGTCTGGATGGAGAACGCAAACAGTATGCTGCCCAGTACACAACTCTACATCTTCGACCAACAATGATCGCTAATCTATCGAATCACAGGTTCTTGGGTTCCTGTCCGCTTGCATCTTTGGCACCTGCATAGTCCTGCTCGTCATCAACAGCAGGAGGGATTCAACAAAAGCAACTAGATGAACCCGCTGCGCAATGTATGCATGTATTATTCAAATCATTTCATGAAACAAGATCAAATCTACGACATCAAGGCGTTCAAAGTGAAATATAAACAAGAAATAAGGACACTATTTGACCTTCGCTCATGGCGCACTGTCCTTAGCTGCGCAAAACAGGTCCGCTGCAGACCTGTCGGCTTTCTGCACAACCAAATCCGAATCTGTGCATGTACCAATCTGTCGCCGAAACTCGGTCGCTTGCTTCTTGGACTCTTCCGCAATATCATGCAAGGTGCTTGCTGTTCCCTCCCATGACAAAATGGGTAGCGTGTGCAGGCCTGGGATGGCACCGCCATCCGGTAGCGTGCTGAGCATATCCGCCTGCGATCCGGCATCAAAGTGGTTGTCTCTTTGTGCTTCGAGTCGTGTGTCTTCTTTGCCCTTGTCACGGCCGTCAGGCACATCTGGTAGATCGGCATAGACACCGACAATGGCATCAGCCGTCTCTTTGCTTGGGTATTCGGTAAAGTAGCCGCGAAGACGACAAAGCTGTAGCATATACTCCAGCCAAGCAGGCTTGTTCTCCGCAACGTCTCTTGATTGCGCCATGCTGGGCACAGATGTCGCTGCCTTTTGCGCGTCTAGGCTCCGTGATGCATAGCCGTGCAGCTCAGTCCATTTATCCCCGAAGACAAGCATGGCGTCACTGCTCGGTGCCTGCCATAGGAATGATGAGTCTCCCTTGTCGGATTCTGGCGCAGAAAATGGTTTCGTATTCTGTATACGAGTCTTGGGCACCGTAAATGACATGCCAAATATGAGGTCAGCCGGACCATCATTGCTGTAACGCCTGGAGAGCAGCATATATTTAACGTCTACTTGCAATCAGTCATGACCTTCCCATCCGAGTTTATCAAGACATACAGTGAAAAAATTGCGGAGATACCTCCGTATGAGGTGATAAGATTAGAGCGTGACTGTTGGTAGCATCGCTCGGCCAAAACGATTCGAGCAGACGGACCGCGCTCTCGCTCGGGCTGGGCTTTTCGTGCTGAATCTGATGTCGCAGCGTCAGCATGCTGGGGTGGGAGCCGGCAAGCCTGGGCCGAGGCCATTGAAAAGTAGAGAGAAACCTCTCTAGCGAAATGTCGAGAGTTGGGGGCAGCTCGACAGTCATGTGTGGGACGCTGTGTCCAGCCAAATCAGCCGCAGCAAGTGACCGCAGCAGACGCTTGAGGTTTCCGGTTCCTGTTGGTGGCGCATGAATTATAATGTCAAAATGTACGTCATTCCATGCTGTGTAAAAAGTTAGTCGTAGTTTGTTGGACTTTTTTTTTATCTCGGTACTTACAAGCTAATGCAGTGGCCTCCAACTGAGACATCCATGCCAGACGAGATTGGGCCCTCGCAGGCAGCTCTATCAAAGTGACTCGAAGAGCGTCTGTCATCTGATCCTTTATGCCGTCTAAAAATGGACGGTCCTCGGTGGAGGAGCCATCCACAATAACAGCTAGAGGCCTCAGATATGTGGCGAGGTAAACTGCTCATGTTAGATGACGTGACTACAGCCTTTCTTGGATGAGCTTACACATTGCACGCGCGGCAGCAAGCGCCAATCTAGGGCTGCTTAGTTGGCGACTCTGGTCGGCGCGAGCATCTATAGAGACTGTTAGTGTGCGCTCACTCATGGTAATCAGGGACTAACCGATGGTCATGACCTTGCAAGACTCATGAATGCCATTGATCTTGAGTAGGTCTTCCAGCTTGATATCGCTATCGCCAAAAAGGACAAAGAAGACGCGATCCTTTCGGGATGTTGCTCTCTCGCACGCCATTGGGAGTACGGTTGCTGCGCTCTGCAGGTTGGAGGCCGCGAACATGACAGTGTTGAATCCCGTGCCGAGAGGGGCCGAGCTCAGCTGTCGAATGCTTGCAGTGAGCGCCTTGAACTTGAGCTTGCCCCTAAAATGTCGTGCATTGTCGAGCGCTTCGTCTGCGGCGGGTATCTCGGGGGCGTGGTCGGTAGGCTTCGGGTCGACGGCTGGAGGTTTAGGTGTCGCCACTGGGGCAGTGAGCCTTGTTGGCATAGCCGCCGCTTTCGGGTGGTTGTTTCGATACTGCGAATATGGGCGCACTATATCTTCCTCGGGCGAGTAGGTCATGTGCCGAAGCAGGGAGACGAGGCCGACGACGAACAGCGCGTAGCCGATATAGCGAAGCCAGCGTCCCCGAGGTCTGCGAGTTTGCCAGCCAGGTCCATGATGATGGGGTAGATTGAGATCGTCGTCCCTTTTGGCGAGGCTCTCATTCTTGGGGAACCAGCGATGGCTCGAAGACGACGCCATGGCGCTTTTGGGAAGCGCAGAGCTCAACGGGGTAAATCAAGATATTGAGGGAGCAAGCATGTCACATTGCGCCGCAAAGGATATAACGACAAGTATCAGAGCGTTTCCGAATGTGAAAAATATATGGTGCTCGGTAACAGGCAACGGGCCAAGAAATAAATGTAAAGTCGGCGTCGACGTCGGGAGGGGACAGCGTTGTCGGGAGATGAAGCCAGGAAAAGTACAGGCTTTCTTAGGAGCGGCTGGACGAGTTGGAGAAGGTGTCGAGTTCGCGCTTCAGGTTGTGCCTGGAACTTGTAGTTTCTAGCGTGCCTTGACTGCCTTGTAGGGCATTGTAGCGGGAGTGGATCAGCCGAGTCCACTGGACTACAGCGCCTTCTCCACTGTAACTACTCCTCTTCTGCGCTGCGACTCCACTGGAGAGAGCTTAGCCGCGTCGCTGCTGTATACCTACTAGGTAGGTATACCTCCTACTAAGGGTTAGTAGGTACTCTAGGGTAGGTAGAGGGAGGGGTTGGAGGTTGGAGGTTGGGTCAAAAAGATTTTGGAGGCTTGGTGGGGCAACGACGATAATTTTGTCTTCTCAGTCAAATGTCCAAATAGCTTCACCACTATCCCTCTTTCGCAACCCCTGGAGCGCTTCTAGAAACGAGTTGGAAATACAAGATTGACCCTTCCCCACCATGGCCAAATCTAGACGCAACCGCGCCGCTGCGCGCAAAGATCCCATCGCAAAACCCGTCAAGCCGCCTTCGGACCCAGAGCTCGCCGCCCTGCGCGAGTCCAAGATTCTCCCCGTCATCAAGGACCTCAAGAGCACCGACACCAAGAAGCGCACCGCCGCCGCGTCTGCCATCTCCAACATTATCCACGACACCAAGTGCCGCAAGCTGCTGCTTCGCGAGCAAATCGTCCACACCGTCCTCAACGAGACCATCACCGACACAGCTCTCGAGAGCCGCGCTGCAGGATGGGGCATCCTGCAGGTGCTTGCCCAAGAAGAAGAAGCAGATTTCTGCATTCACCTTTTCCGATTAGATGTCCTGACGGCCATTGAGTTTGCTTCAAACAAGGTGAGTTGCTTTCACGGCTGGTGGTCTCTCTTACACACACGCACGTCCTTGAATACTAACTGGGACCTGCAGTTCATACAGAGAATCACCGCCACCGAACCAGCCTTTTCTAAACTCCCCAAAGCCGAACAACACACAATCATCAGCATTATCGCTTCTCTCTTGTCCCTCCTAACAGCCTTGGCCGAGGCCGGTGACGACATGCTCGAGGCTATCGCATCCAACACTACGCTTACACAGCTTCTCGTCGTCCTCATCACAAAACATAACGATATCTCGGGCGAATCCGACGGCGTATCCACACTCCGATCCGACGCCCTAGCCTGCCTCATGTTGCTGTGCGAGGACAACGACAAGTTGGCACAAGCTATAAGCGTTTCCGGCACCAGCACCTTTGAGACGCTCCTGTCGCTCAAGGACAGACTCGATGGGGAGGGCGTCTTGGCCTGCGCCGTCTTACACAACCTTTTTGCCTCGTTGGAGGCGTTAAAAGATGCATCCGTGCCCACCAAAGTCGACCAGTCCATTTTAATACCCACTCTTACCAAAGTTCTCGCTTCGTATTCTGCTGATGAGCCGCCGCCGACCGGCGAGAGCTGGTCCGACCCGGCCCAGTACCAGCAGCTTGCCCTCGAGACCATTGCCTCTATTGGCACCAGCCTGACTGCTGCCATGGGTGGCCCTGCGGAAGCTTCCCACCCTGCTGGCAAGAACAAACCACCTGCTCCCCAAGAAGAAGCCGTGGACGATGACCTAGATATGAACGAGGCGGATGATGATGTAAACTCAGAGAGCGGGGGCGAGGGAATGCACGAGGAGGAAGATGAGGACGAGATGACCCTTGAAGAAATGCAAGCCGACATGGATATGGTCCTTGGCGGCGATGACGACGAAAACATTGATGATCATCCCGTTCTGCAAGCGCTGCTAGAAAAAGCGCTACCCGAGCTCATCCGCATTGCCGCGTCCCAACCCTCAAATGAACTTGCCATGGCCATGCAGGGCCATGCCCTCTCCGCCCTCAACAATATTGCGTGGTCCCTCTCCGTCGTGGATTTTTCCGAGCCCCAGAATGCCAGCGTCCTCGCCGCTTGGTCACCAACCGCAAAGTCCATCTGGAAACAAGTCATCTCGCCCATCCTAGCCTCCGACACGGCCGATCTCGGCCTCGCCACGCAGGTCACCGGTCTTTCTTGGGCCATTGCCCGTGCCTTGCGCAGCAAGACCCCTCTGCAGCCCGGCGAGCAGCGCAAGTTCATCACCCTCTACCAGGCCACCAGGGGCGGCAGCGCCGCCAGGCAAGACGCGCCGGACCAGGACCCCTTCCAGAGTCTCGGCGTCAAGTGCATCGGCGTCGTGGGCCAGCTCGCGCTGGAGCCGTGCCCCGCGGACATGAACCGCGAGCTCGGCACGTTTCTCGTCACCGTCGTCTCGGCGCTGCCGCAGACCCCGGCCGCCGAAGCCGTCGAGGCGCTCAACCAGCTCTTTGACATTTACGGCGAAGAAGCTTACGCATACGACGCCGACGTGTTTTGGGCCGACAACTTTGTCAAGCATCTGGAGGAGGCCATCCCCAAGGTGCGGGTCATGGTGAAGTCGGTGGAGAAGAAGACCCAAGCGGAGTTGAGACTGCGGGCTGATGAGGTCCTCATGAACCTGACAAGGTTCATCTCCTACAAGGTTAAGCACAAGCCTAAGAATTGAAACGCATGTCATGAAAAAGAAGAAGAAGCAATAGAAGGATAAAAGCATATAGGTTCACATATTGGCTGTTATTTGAATATAGCTCCGATTGCAAATATGGATTGACCCATTCCCAAGCAACACATTTCTCTATTATTATTGTAAAACATGATTGCGCATTCCCAACAGATTAATGAGCGCCATATAGAACCCGCCATATAGAACCCAGCAGGAGCAAACAGCTCTCCATACAATAGCCCATCAGCAACGCTCAAAGACTCGATACAGGCCCTTCAGGCTCGCCACCTCGAGCACGCCGCCGTCCATCAGAGAGCGCGTCGCTACGAGCCTCGACTTGAAGGCCGGGAAAAATAGGTGCTCCACGGCCCACCGCACGTGCTGCCTCCTCTTGCGCAGCTCCGGGTGCAGCTCCTCCCTGCCTTCGTCCTCCCCGTCCCCGTCCCCGCCGGTTGGCATGGGCGCCGGCGGGAGCTGTTCGGGCACGTAAAACGTGGCCAGCTCGCGCAGAAACGACTCAAAGCATGCGCGCTCGCTCGTCCAGTCGACGTGCGGGCCGAGGCGCAGCAGGAAGCGCGGGAGTTTGCCGAGCGGGGGCGTGTAGCCCTTGACAAGGAGGGGAAGCGCGACGAGCTCGGCGGCCGGCGAGATCTCGAGCGAAAAGTACTCCTGCAGCATCTGGCGCTTGTCGATGAGCGTGTCCCGGACGCGCGCGACGACGGCGGCCGTGTCGAACTCGTCGTCGGCGGCGCCGAGCAGCGCCTTTTCCTCGGTGGCCGCGAGCGTCAGCAGCTCCTCCAGGTCGAGCGGCGGGCTGAAGCGGAGCGCGCCCATGTTGCCAAAGTCGGTCAGGCCGAGCTGGTAGAGGTACTCGAAGCACGTGTGGCCGTAGTCGACGAGGAACAGCTTGACGCCGCCCTGGACGGCCGCCAGGCGCCGCTGCTCGTCGACGATGCCGACAAAGGTGTGCGTGCTGAACATGTCCGTCAGCTCGTGGTGGGCGCCGTCTCGCACCTCGGCTCGCAGCTGTCGGATGCTGCTCAGCGCGCACGCCGAGAACTGGCGGTCGACGGTTTCGTACTCGACGGGTTCGGGGACCGCCAGGGGCTCCTCTGCCCGGCCGCCGCCGCTGCTGCCCGCGTCGCCGGATTCTGTGCGCGCAAACATGCTGGTGATTTTGCGCTCGAATGTGTCGGTGCGCACCAAGTCGTTGGAGTTTCGTCGCACGCGTTTGCCGCTGGCCAGTACTGTCTCGACTGGTCCCTCGCCGTCTTTCGCGGGATGGTCAGCAGGCCGTGCACCCGGAATGAGCGTTTGGGTCTTAAATGTGCGGCTTGTATCAACGGCCCTGAGAGCGTCTGTAATCTCGTTGCATATATCCTGGATAATCTCATCCTCGTTGAGGAAATGCACTTCTTTCTTGGTGGGATGCACATTCACGTCGACTCTTGCCGGTTCAATATCAAGGCTCAGGTATACAAAGGGGTGCCCGCCCTTTGGCAAAAAAGCCGAGTATACCTGCTCAATCGCCTTTTTTATATTGGTCGACTCGACGGAGCGGTGGTTGATGAAAAGCACTAGAGTTGTCTTCTTGATATGGTAATTGGCATTAGTCACCAGTGCGCTCGCCTTGTAACCCCAGCGCGCATCCGAAGCAAGGACGTCAACTAGCTCGTTTGCAACGCCTCCGCCGTATATCTGACGCACTCTATCAACCGCAGATGCGGCTGCTGGGATCGATAGACTTGCTGACGATTCGCCAGCCTTCTTGCATGTGAATCCGACCCCGGCGGAGTGGATGGCATATCGCCCGACCATGTCTATGATTTTGTTGAATTCATCCGCATACGACCGAAAGGCTCTGCGTCTCGTCGGTAGACTGAAGAACAAATCTTCGACGGCAATTTGGGTCCCGGGACGACCGGCGACGCCTTTGGGTTCTGCTGGTTGCCCTGGCTTGCTAGGCGCAAGTTTGCCATCCAGATAATGTGCCCGCCAGGCTAGAGCCGAATCTTTTGTTTTGGTAGTGACTGTCAAATGTGCGATATGACTGATACTTGCAAGGGCTTCGCCACGAAAGCCGTAGGTGGAAATGGCCGTGAGATCCTCAAAGGCGACAATCTTTGACGTAGTGTGGCGCTCGCATAGAATGGCAAGATCGTCTTTCTGAATCCCAGATCCGTTGTCTGTAATCTGTAAAAGTTTCAGTCCACCATCCTTGACAAGGACCTCCAATGCGGTGCTGCCCGCGTCTATGGAGTTCTCCAGGAGCTCCTTGAGCGCGTGGACTGGGGCAACAATGATTTCACCAGCGGCGATTTTGTTCACTACATCAATATCCAGGGCCTTTTTCAACAGTTAGTAATTTTCAGAACCAGCAATCGACCAGACTGGTTTTCTTACGCGAATCCGACGTGGCGGTGCGGGCTCGTCATTGTCCATATCCGCTTTGCGTTTGCTGCCAGCCACAGCATCGACATCCATCATATCAGCCATTTTTTGAACATTGCGAGCTCTTCCGGGCCTCGAATTATCTCATTGTGGCTGAATTTAGCATCTGAGTTGAGCGATTTCGACCAGCAGATTCAGAGACGGCGTGGTAAACGTGCACGTGAAGAAGAAGACGATTGCATCTTGACCCGCACCGCGATTGCCTCGCGACTTCACGTGACGACAGTCTAAACACTGTGAGGCTTGAAGTGCCACTCTCTCACTTGTGATTATGTAGGCACGTGTATTGACAAAGAAGTGAATTTTGAGTATAATACTTTTATAAGAATATTTAATATCTAATTTGGTGCCACGGAAACTGTTCTGGGCTGTTCTTTACTGTATGTGCTAACGAACTTGCGCTAGTCGTAAGCGCGACGTTGGTAGCACATCATCATACATTACTATTCAAAGCATGCGTGCTTCGATGAGAAGAGCCTGCTTCATGTTCCAGTGTTATGGATCAGGCCGCCGATACTAAGCCGCCTTTGCTTGCCATCTCTTTCCGGCGTGCCGCGACCTCGCTCCGCCAACGAGCGAATTGGAGGCAGTGTGTATCGCGGCTCACTTGGACGGGCAGGCGTTGGCGCGCCCAGCTCGCTCCGAGGAATCTGCAGAGAAGATGCCCTGCTGTATTCGCCGCCATGAGGCGAGGGCGAGTAGATGGACTGGTAGGCGCTGGTAGGCGAAGTTCCTTGAGGAGTGGATTGTCTTCCCATTCCAACTTCTCTGCGTAGCGCCAACGGACGCTCACTGAATTGACGGCAAGCGGCATCGATTGGAGGAGGAGCGCCATGCATTGGTGAAGTGCGCGGCATAGCATGGCCGACATTGCGCGCGTGCGGGACACCCGGTTGGTAGTGAGGACGCGCTTGAAGAGTGAGCAGAGCCGCGATGAAGAAGAAAGAACCCTCTTTCAATAGACCCAACCGGATGGGATATGATCGGAGCTGTCCATCGTGACCTCTAAATGTGGCATACGCTTGGTGGTTGAACTCGAGGCGGTTGACAATTTCCGGGGCAAAACTCAACGCACGCGCGGCTTCGTTACCCTTGTCGAAGATGGGCGGCAGATATGTCGGCTCTCTCCTCTTTTGCTCGCTATTCAAAACATTGCAGAGGTCCATCATCGTCTCTGATGTTTCGGGGACTACCATCTCCATGATCCTTCTTCCGACGAATCCGTTGGCACCAATCGCCTCTGCAAAGGAGGACGAGGCTTTGACAACCTCCATACTCGTTCTCATATAGACAATCGGCGCTTCGGCTGCAAGTCGACGTTGCCTGTCTCCCTGAAAAGTGGCGTCGGCAGACACCACTCGGGATAAGTACCGAGCGCCTGGAGTTTCGGGGGATGGGAAAGCAGAGCCCGGGGCCGATCGAGGGGCGCTGCTGGGACCATCATACATGGGGTGGTGCCCCATTGAGGCCGGCCGGATATTTGGCATCTTTCCGGCGCCGCCATCTTGCGCATGGGAGAAACGGGCGGGATCCATACGCGATTCACGGTCGTCCCTCAAGCGAGGTCGTCCCCTCTTCTTGTGCCGTACATCAACGCAAGTGTCTTCCTTGCCATGAGAGACGCATCTCGCGCAAGGCCGTTGTGAATCGCAACGAAGGTGCGCCTTTTTGCATGGAACACACGCCGAAGCGACATGCCCTTTTGTTTTGCGTTGTGATCTAGGAGACAGAGCCCTGACGCTAGACTCGGGCATGGAGCTTCGAGGCTGCGATGCCGAGTGTTGAGGAGGCATTGACGACGCAAGCGAGTCGTATGGCTGTCTTTGCGTGCCGTGCGGATTGTTGACAGACTCGGGTGTGTTGTAAGTCAACAAAGGCGGTAGTCGGTGGTCAGATGGTCGACGAAGATGGGGTCCACGGGGCGTCTCTTGCGGAAAGGTGTTGGATAATGGGAGTAGACCTCTAGGCTCCTCAGCAGCCCTTGCAGATCGCTGTTCAGTTTGCCACCTTGTTTGCGAAGAGTGCGAGGGCATGCTGTGGTGAGGACTTCTACCAGACGAATTCACGTCTTGGGCAGTCCGCGCCGACTCGAACGGTGGAGATCCAGACATAGGCGGAGATGGATATCCTCGGTGCCTAGAGACTGGCTCTACTCTTTGTTTCGGCGGATACAAAGAAAGTTGTCCTTCATGGAATATGCTGCTGGAAATGCCGTGGCGATTGCCTGGGGGGAAAGGCGCACTCTCCACGGGTCTGCTGACAGATAGCATTGAGGGAACTCTGGGTGGGTTTTGCTGGATTCGTAGGTTTCCACGAGATGTTGTTTTTAAAAAAGACGCTCGTGGTGCATGTCGTTGTCACAATCACGCTTCGGGCCTGCTCAGGAACCAACTATGCGATTGTGTGGTCGTATTAATGGAAATTGCGGTTGCACTGCGGCTTGCGGCAGCGTGGAAAGTGCTTGTGTGATGTTCCCTTTTTCCAAAGTTTCTGTACGCGTACACAAGCAGAAACAGCCGAAGGGGAATTTGACTGAAACAGGACAGCTGGGTGGTGGTACTGGCAGTTTCAATATCTTGGTGCAACTCTGTGTTGCGTGGTTTCGGTTGTCCACGTCGCTTCGGCGAGCTGTAGCAGGAACAAGGTTTGTCCTGCAGATGATGATGGTAGTCGGTGGCTTCTGCTTGATCGTCGACACTGTGGCGAAGTAATTTTCCGGATTCGAAACAGCTTCAAGGTTAGGCACAGCCGCCTAGTCGGTTGTCGTGGTGTATGTGTCGGGGACAAGAGTCGCCAGATAAAAACCGAGGCGTATCGGTCATATAGTATCGACACTTGCAAGGAGAAGTCGGGCTCTTGGATAGACTTCGCTCGTCAGATATTTCGAGATGCTTCAAAACACTGACATTCCAGATCCGCCGTCGTCGCCGCGTAGCATAGCACGAGAGTATTCGCCGTCGGTCTTTCTCGATAGGCGAAGGACAACGATCGGCGCCGAAGCCAGCAGAATGTGTCTCAATATAGTCTCGCAAACAAAGGGCCGAACGTGAGACTCTGGAACTAAATAGTAATAAAGTGTGACAGTCAACCGGGCCAATGTCTCTGCGGTCACGCCAAGCTCGTCTGGCGCGCCTCTAGCCCTTCAAGGACAGCAAGTTCCCCCGGTCTGCTTTTGTTATGGTGTTGCTCGCGGTTTCTCTTGGAAGGATTCTGTAGGAAGAACCGGGTTTTGGTCAAGGGATGCGGCCTGGTGAATGTGAGACACAGCCGATGCCACACAGATTCAGAGGCGAAAGTAGTCCAGCTGTGTTCCCTCTGGCGGCCAGGGAGGATCTGTGCCAGGGTATTAGGAAGATACTATTCAGGGGAGCTGGCAAATGGGTGCCAGGAACGTTTCGAAAGTGGGAAAGGAAGACAGCAGCCCAGTGTCGGCAGGATGCAGAAGTGGTGGAAGCAGAAAGGACCGAACCGGCAATTCAAGTTGGAGGAGATTGGAAAATGAATGGAGGAAGAGTAGTTCGGAAAGGCATAGGCCGAGTAAATATAAAAAATAAGCCCCGGTCGGCAAGTGAGGTCGAGAGAAGGTTCCAAAACGGCTGGTGGGTGGAGAGGGACTGCTGTGTATGTATATAGTGGGCGGCGATCTCAAGAACTCTTGGCTCTGGCTTTCCTCCCAGTCCAACAGTGGCAAGACGTCGATTCAGCGGACAAGAACCGAATTGTGACAAGGAGGAGGTGTATTGGGTCCGTCAATGGGTAGCCTGGCGCGGTTGCGGGATGTGCCTTGTCATGCACAAGAAGCTTAATGGAAGGGCAAGGGAAATGGTTGAATAGACGGGCTCGGGCAGTTTCCAATATGTGCTGCACTCCATCATATTATGGAGTATTGTCACGGCATCACCGCAGCACACCTATAATACCGTGGTGGCGTGCGTGCGCCGGGTACGGGGGCTTCAAGGAGAATGGAGTACGGGGGACGGGCAGGGCAGGGCAGGACGACCTTCGGACCACCCCATGTGGGCAGCGGCTCTTGTACTCCGTACTGGTAGTTAGTTATTACTTTGTCCATCCATGAATCACAAGCCGGGCGTCTCGTTATGGGAACTGGCCCTGGCACATTGGCTAGGGCTGGGCTGGTGCACGACTGGCAACTGCCCGACTTGGCAGCTACCTAGACTTCTAACTTCCAAGTTGGTACGGCGGATAGTCTGGTCGTCGTCGGAGAGCCACAAGTCATGAATGACAATGCGGTCATGCCTCTTCCAGAGACTAGTTAACTACTTACGGAGTACGGTAAAGGGACTGGGGAACCTAAAACACCCATGGGTTGGTTAGTGAGTTGGCCTCCGCAATCCGTTCTGGTCGGCGCCTTTGCTCCCTGCTGGCATCCAATGTCTGAGTTATACTTGGACAAGGGCAACAATGGGCACAAAAGGTGACTTTGTGTGTCGGTAATGATACGGGCCTATCATGTCTGAGCATGTCTGGATGCATGTCAATCACGTCTTGCTTGTCTTGCTTTTAGTAAACCCTCGCCGCACGGCACATGGCACCGGTGAGCCCGTCGGGCGGCGCACACGCGTCGCCTTTTTCTCCACGCCACAACGGTCGAGGGAATGAAGAGGGAGGGTCTATTGAGATGGACGGCGCGCACAGCCAGCCCCTCTGCAATCGGGGTGTGCGGGAGGGTACAAGTTACCAGCGCTTCCTGCTCCCAGACGAGCTCTGTCTAACTTATTCGTACTGTGCTCTGACGCCAAGAAGATGCCCATGAGTCGTAACGACGCTCATGCCTCTGCCTGTGGTGTGGTGCAAGGGCGGGATGTCGCCGAGCCTCCCGATTCGTGACCCATTCATCGTTGACCGGCACATCTCAAGCTAACTAGTTGCAAGCTCGCGTTATGTACAACTGGACAAGGTGTCAAGACGCACAGGTCCGGCACAAGGCGAGAACGCGCCGTCTTGTGCCCGAAAAGCCCCCGGTTCCAAGTAGGACGCACATGGCGAGACCTAGCTGGCATTTTCACAATGCAGAATCGAGGGTAGTCCAAAACGTAGCGCCGCAACACACTTGCTTCTTGGCAGTTGGGCACTGTGTTGGCAGATAGTAACTAATACGTAGTTAACTAGTTAGCCTCTGCCCTGGCTGGGCGGCGTGAACCCTAGCAGCACATCCTGTTTGACCCTTCTCGATTAATAACTTCCGAGATTGTCTCCAGCCCCTAGCGCGCGCCATAACGCATTTTTGCCTCGGGGAAGATGGGTCCTTGGGCTCTAGTGGCTCTGCCATCGAACCAGGACGAGTCGAGCATGTGGCATTTTGGGGGCTCGTACGTAACAGCGACCGCCTCCGTTAGCCAACAAGGGCGCCGCTAACATGATAAGCTTGCCCATATGGATTGCAATGCACCGGCACGCCCAGCCAGGTTGCCCTTGGCTTGCGACCCTTGCCAGTCTCAGGTAGGGCTCTGTTATGCTGAGAGGGCACTCGTCGGTTTTGCGCTTGTTTGTCTTTTGCCGGCGAGTCAGGCGAAGCAGGACCAGGAGCCGAGCCTCAAGATACTGTCACCGAGGGAGGGCCGCTGTCGCTGACGAGGTTTTGGGTTCGAGGACAACATCAGATGCTTGCGGCAGCAGGTAGTTAGTTAGTTGGGGCCGGCCCGTATTAGCTGTCGCAACCAAGGTCTACAGGGATCCCCATTCGAAAACTACATATGATGGTTCGGTGCGTACTCCGTAGCCAAAACTAGCAGTTCCCCGCTAGTAGTTAGTTACGCTGGGACTGTCGTGGCAGCCAGTAATATCTAATAAGCTGTTCAGCAGCGATAACCTCCCATTTGACAACTACGACTGGCAGTGAAGCCTCTCGGGAGCCCCATACCCCGATCTACGCACGGGGTCCTTTGCAATTCAAGGATACTGGGCTAGTTACAGACGATCTGCTGCAATGAAACACTAGACGATGGGGTCGCAGAGGCTGCGATGGAGCCTCCCAAGTTGCAGTGTAACATTGTAACATTGGACAGTAGTTCGTCATGATCTGTCAGTTCACTCACGATCCGGAAAAGGATGGACGGGATGACCATCTCTCAGCAGTTGAAATGAGAAAATCAGTCCATAAATCTGCTGAGGCTGTAGATCCTCCATTTCCTAGCCTCAGGCCCGCCATCAAAGCGCAGCGTCCTTGGGACCGTGACACGCCCGCATGACAACCCCCGGCGGCGAGATAGATTAGAGAACCGACAAGGAATGCGACTGGTAGTAATAAACGGCCTCGATCAGCCCAGTGGTGGGTTGCGCTAGCACCCTTTTTAGTGTCCCTCGGTCCAGCAGCAGTCAGTTGGTTCCTCTTTCTTGCCTAGATGAGACGAGCGATGGATGGATTTTGACACTATTGGAAAGAGACTATTCTGTAACTACTCCGTAACCTACAGCCTACGGATGGATACGCAAGCGATCATGCCTCGTGGCTCGGATGCAGGGCTGGAGCTAACAAGCAACACAAGATGCCGGTGGCGGTCAAGCTGGCTCCGTGGAGATGCGGAATCAAACCACATGGCATCTTGACACCATGTACTTTTCCGGAGCAATCCACTCTCGAGTCTCGGTTCATCACTGGTCAGCCTTTTGCCAAGTCATCCTTTGCGTGAAGAGAGAAACTATTGTTACACCTTGCCTGCAGACCTTGTTCCAGCAACACAGGCACCTCCACCGAATTAACTTCCTCTACCCAGGCTTTCTCGGCCTTTCTACCGTACTGAAACTCATCTTGGTCATTTAACGGCCGGCGGGTTGTTGGCCGCACGTCTAACTAGTGATGCTAGCTAGGTATGAGAAATGAGGCTGCGTTGGCCATCAAGGCCAGCCACTTCCTAGCGCCATGTGGCTATTTCCCCGGCTCCATTTCAGGCTAAATTTAATAATAATGATACGTCAAGCAGACACTTTGCGTCGCTCGATTGTGATTGTGATTAGCTATGTTTCTAACGCTAATTGCTGTGTTGTACTACAGACAGTCGATGTAGTGTCTTTGCAGATAGATGCCTTTTTCCGTCGCCTCTCCATCCAGGTGAAATAGCCGTAGGAAATTTAGCCATGAGCCAAGATTTGTGTGTATCTGAATGGCACCCACCGGTACCCCCATCTAACAACCCAGTACATATTACAATGCCAGCTTGGCATGGTTCAGCGCCCAGTCAGCCGCGTTGTTTGGTTACTAGTCAGTCGTCAAAAAGGCCAATAATGCGTTACGGACACAGGTATCAACAACCTGGTACCCTGGCTGGTGATGTGGGTGTGGCCATGCACCTTCCAACTACATGATTAGACTGACTATCGGTCCCAAACCAAATGCATGCTTGTGCGAAAACAATGTTCCGAACGCCAGCTCGATTACTTGGCGTTGCGCTAGAGATGAGGTGCTGGTACATAGACGTCATTTGCAGATCACACTGAATGGGAGATGGGAGGGAGTTGAAGGTTCCTCGGCCGCTCAGGATCAACTGTCCCTGATTCCGTTTCCGCAAACCTCGCCAAGTTGACCGGGCTAATAAACGAGAAGCGACGAGGGTTGAGACGAGCCACGGCGTGTTACTGATGAGCAGAAGCAAGCCATAATACGCCATACGAACCTTTGTGGATTGAGGTCCGAGGTCTCGACGCCAACGAGCCTCCGGCCTTGGCCCGGCTGTCGCTGCTTACGACTCGCCAAGCTGCCAATCATGATACAAGGAGCCCTCGAGGTACACACCTGGTTGCCAGACCCAGACCGGTTTACACCCCTTCCGGGGGCCCCATCGGTCAACTAGTTGATGCTTCTCTCGGTGTTATTGACCTCCCCCCGGTCTGCTATTTGCGGCGCCCCCACGCAGTGATTTTGATGCACTCGTGCCACATTTCCACCGGTTCGCCATGGCTTGCCGTCTTGGGACCAATGGCGACAGGTCTCGGGTTGGGGTTTCACCAGCTCGGAACCAAACGTCTTGTCCCCCCAAGACGCTGGGCTCGATCTATCGACTGCTGGCCAACGGCTCTCCATCGGAAGCCTCTCGGCACACGTACAAACTGACTCGATAGATTCAAGGGAGATGCAAAAAAGCTAGTTCGTAGCGTCCGAGGGCAGGCCGTCCACTCGGCGCTTTCATTTCCCGCCAACTCTGCGAAATTGGGAAGTCAAAACGGCCCCCATGCTGACACGTCTAACTACCTAGGACTCGGCGTCCATTGAACAACTGCATAATGCGCCGACTGCCAAGGCCAGGAGCTGTTTTCCTCTTGCCATTGTCCAATATCGGCGCGCCGTGGTACTGCCGAGTTCCAAGTTTAGCATTGCGCTCTGCGGAGTACCAGTTTGCCGGTAATTTTTGCATCCTGGCCGATGGATGCTATAGTGGCAGCGGGCGACACTGGGCAATACTGAGTACGGAGTATGAATTATTCGTAATAAGGCTGGGCGGCTGTGACAGGGGTCAAGAACAGAAGATGAAGGAGGCGGGTGGTTGACTGGCCCAGCCCGCTTCTCGGGGAGGTTACATTTGTTTGATGCACAGCTAAAGTTAGTGTCCTGCAAGTGCCACGTTCAAGTCGACAGACAGTAATCTGTATCCGTAGTTAGTCCGTAACTAGTTACGTTGTGATTGATGAGTACGAATTAGGTGCTGCGAAGGAACTAGTTACCGCGCCAGCAAAGTCAGTCGTTGATTGTATTGTATTGTATTGTATTTCTATTTTACGTCGTACCATCCCTGAAAAGGGCAAATGACGCCTGCGGGGACCTTGTAAAACTAAACTATCTACCCAAACTTTTAAATTTTTCAAATAATTCTGTCAGTCGTTGATTCTACTTGGCGGCCAAGTAACCAGACGATCTCAGTAATGATTCATACATACTGCCAATGCCAATACATTATTACAATGTTGGCTGGACCGATGTAACATCGGCAAAGCGAGTCTTGTGCATTGCTGCTTTTGATGATGCACGGCGCTGGACAAGGCGTACTCGACTGCTGTGTCCCGCATAGGCCACTGTGATAGTGACCGGGCGAGGCGAGATGCAAGGAAGCGCGCTGCTTTTTCTATTTCTCCTTTCGGGTATGCAGGCTTCCTCGACGTGTCCGCCGATCCCTTGTTTCACAACTGAAGATGACGGGTAGCCTGCGTCGTACCATCAGGTGGCATCCCAGTCGGCGCGACGCATTGACAGGCTGCACTCTGGCGATGAGGTGTTTATTTCTTTTTTATTTCTTCCTTTTTTCCCCCAAAAATTCTCATTGTCTGACCATTCATCAAAGTCGGGTGGGTGTTACTGTTGTACGCCAGACGTCGATTTTCTCGTCAAGAGTTCATCAGCTGGCAGCACTAGTTAATAGTTGGCTGAGTCTAACTAGTGTTGGGCGCATTGTGACTGTAATTGGTTGGTGAAACTGTTACAACTAGTTACGGATACAGGTCGCTACGATGGCAAAACAGAAAACGGGCAGAGTTTCTTACGAATACTGAGTTGATGACTGGTATTGCCAGGGGGAACAGCCCAAGCATGACGGCCAAGTATGGATAGCATCATTCAAGCTCTGCTCAGTCGGACAAGAGCCAAGTGGCATTTCGATAGCTCGTTTCTTGAGTCAGCATCTTGTCAACTTGTCTTGGTTGTTGTTTCTTCCAACTCGGAATGAAATCAGGTACATACATAGTTAACTAGATACAACCACCCCGGTAACTACCACACGCTCTGGCATGATTTAATGGCGGGGTCAGCGGGCCAAAACTGCCTGCCAAGAAAAAGCTAGTTACCTTTTGCACCGTTGTCTTCACATCCTGCAGATTTCACGACCCAACAACCCCCCCCCCCCCTTCTAGTGAATACTGTGACTTCGTTTCCATGCTTGACCGTTTCATGCAAGGATTTGCTAGTTGCCCCCAGGAAGATTTGTGTGACTTGGGATAAAGCCAATCTCAGTCAGTCTTGGGCCCTCTTCACTTTTCCTGCAGCGGCATTGACATGCATGGGGAAATTGCTAAAAAGCGGGCTTTTACCGTGGACAGACTGTCTAGACGGACAGACCCTTGGGCTTTGCCGACGCCTTCTTCGTCCTTTTTTTTTTTCCTTTTTTTCTTCCCTCGGCCTGGGGGCGCAAAAGCATCAGCCATCGTACGAGAATGAGGACCACACACACACCCACCCCGGGCGGCCTTGTCTTGTCTGCTGGCTGCCCAACCGTTGTCATGCAAAATGTCAACCATGATAAGGACAGGCACCTCTTTCCAAGGTTTTGGCCTAGTCAATCTATTCCCGCGACGCAAAATTTCCGACGTCGACGTCAGCAACTCGGTCCTCTAATCCGAGAAGCCTAGCAAACCGCTCGACACTCGACACTCGTACGTGCCCTCATAGTTACGTGATGTCGCTTTGGGCATCGATATTTGAGTTTCACATAGAGACTTCACTTGGGTGCATATGTATCACTCGGTACTGAATGGGCTCAATCACCGTCGCTGACAGCAAGCAGCGAATGGCTCGCTTCGCAACATTCTTCCTGTTTGGTATGCCCTCGCTTCGTGCAACAAGGGTGAGAGTCACCTACCCAGCATGTACTATAGTTAGTTACTACCGGGCTATCTGCCTTGCCACATGAAGGTTATTCCCCATTCTTTACACATAGTTATCACCGAGATCAGTAAATTTACTCGCGATACTGCGTGGCCACTCTCCATAACTATGTATGTATGTACTCCATACTGGCAGTTGCAATACTCCGTACGGATAGGAAACGGTCAAATCTCTCTTGCATGGGTCTCCCATGTTATAGATCGCCTTAGCCGAAAATGTCACTTTAGGCGGGAAGCGCTCCGAGCTCACTGCGATGGCCGTTCAGGTTTCCTCGCCGTCACATCCTCCCCATGATTGCAGGGGCCGGTCGCACTACCCCCCGGTCCTCATGGACTTGCCCTACTATTGCCGAACGGCAATACCAGGACAGAAAATACCTTGTCTCGGCAGTATTTTTTCCTGCTCATGAACACGTACAGACTCTAGACCGACCCTTGCCACACCCCGTTTCATGACGCTATGTGTAATTCCTACTGGTACAGCACACCGCGCACGTACTCTGTGCGCTGGACATGACTACTTTGTACATGACTATGCATGCCGTCTCAGAGGACTCTGTCTACGGACGTTCGTACCGGTACAGGTAACATGTACTCCGTAAGAGTATGTATTCCCATACCAGGCTGATGCACCATTCTTATAGCACAGCACCCTTCTCGGGCGTCGCTGCACTCCCCTGCGTCTCGTCAACTGCCATGTACCGGCAGAGGGCGCGGTTTTCGGACCAATGTCTCAGCAAAAAGAAGTCCAACGGGGCACCCAGTATTACCTATCGTCTGTCTACGCAGGAATCCGTACTCTGTACACCTCTCCGAACGAGCCGCAAACATTGCTCAGAAGTATTCGCTTTTGCTACAAATTACAGAGTATTGTAAACGCCACAGGGTTCAGCTCAGCCCCTGTGCCTCCGGCTCCTCAGCCCCGGGCCTCCGACCGTTGGCGCTACTACATACTCGTACTCCGCACAGTGCCTTGCTTTCTTGTCAGTCATCCTTGGCTCGACGACGGTTGTTTTCCGGAGCAAATCCTTTGCGCGGACCGGGGGCCAGCCACAAGTGAATAAAGAGGGCCTACTCCGTACATACTACAGCCGGGCAGGGGGCCAGATGTGTGGCCTTCAACCGGGGTGCTCTTGGAAGCTGGGAAGCACGAGGATGGATCGGGCTGAGCGGTTCATGCTCCCGCGCCACGCCACCAGCGAAGCGAAGTTTTTTTATCCGTATCACTGTAGGCTGTACTCTTAGTGCTGGTACGACGTGCTTCAGCTTCTCCGATGTGCTGCTATTTTAATTAATTTGCATCAAACCTCCATGCCCTTCCTCTCACGTCCGTGACAGGTGGCTGTCATGCGACTCCGCGCGCCGACCACCACCTGTGTGTCCAGCGAGTCTCGTATCTGTGTCACAGGGGCCACGCGAGCGTAGTACCTCACAAATTATTTGCCGAAGAGAGTAGCGAGGCAGTGCAGGCTCATCATTTGCATGGTGTGCTTCTAATATGCGGCCAGGCACTGACTATGGAATGTACATACCTCCCTACGGATACATAAGATAACTAGGGATGCAAAAATTGCAAAGCGGCCATGTATCGTACCTGCCAATAGTGGGTTGATGCAGCTGAGAGGTATAATAAATGTTTGCTCCCTCTGACTCTCTGGGATGCGGCACCACAAACCAGCCCGGTCATATCAGATGTCCCAGTCGATATTGCCATGGACATGATTCGCCCCATCTCCACCCCAGTGCCGCCAACAAAAGTTGCGTTTCTACGGCATGAGGTTTCACAGTATTCTCATGCGGCCTTGTCTAGCCTATTCACTCCGATATGTTGCCCTTCACAGGGTTCTTGGCCAGGGGGTTGAAAACAGTTATACAGTCCATCAGAGTCCACATCAAGTGAATACAAAACTAACTAGTTGGCTTTGGCATGTATGTACATGCAGTGTATACATACATACATACACACATACATACATACATACTTCGTACTGGTACGACTCATACCCTTGCCCCCTACACCTGCAGCCGTTGAGCCCCATGCCGCGAGTCACCCACATCTTGTTTTCTCTTGACTAGTTAGAGGCCGTTTCGGCAAGATCCGTTTGCTCAACTGCAGTTTCATTCTAGCATGGTGCCCCTGGAGCCTTATTTGGTCCTTATTGACCAGGAGCGTCGGCGGGGGCAATAACTGCCTTGGGTCACATGGGGCCCGTACTCCGGAACTATTGCAGCCAATTCGCGGAAGCTTCCGAAAATACCCTTCTGATGCTTCTCTCAAGAGCCACATATAATACTACCCTGCGTGCGCCAGTCGGGGGGTTGAGCCATGGAGAGGCTGCCAACTGTTTGACATGTTGCAATGCCGCCAATTCAGGGACCATGCTTAACCGACAACGACCAAGATAGCAACCATGGCAATATCGTATGCGTTCCATGCCCCGACAATACAAGTACCACATGCATGGATATATCCAAGTTGAATTCATAATAGAGTAGAACAGAAGCCCATGTTCGGAAATCCAAGGAAACAAAATCATCCGATCGCTATGACAAAACTTCACCCTTGCGGCATAAAGCATAAACCAGATAGAACAAAATGCATCCATCATACAAGCACCTCGCCGGCCTGGCCTTAAACCCGAATTACAAAAGCCAGTGCGTCGCTCCTCCCATGTTCGCTCGGGAGGCAGCCAGCTGCATGCTCACAGGCGGCTTTCAATACCAGCAAAGTGGCTATCTCCAGCCCAATGCGAGTATGGCCACACCACTCGAATTGCTTCCCAAACGTGACTACAGACATCATGTATTAGTATACACTCTATCGGAAGACGTGGAAATGACAACCATGGGCCAGCCCATGAGGAGAGCGGCACATGATCTGCATGGCTTGACGTACCTCACATGGATAATCTCCAGACCATCCTTGACTTCCTGCGGAAGATCTTTTGCTTCCTTTTTATTTTGCGCAGGGAGAATGACCGTCTTCACACCGGCTCGGAGAGCGCCGATGAGCTTCTCCTTGATACCACCTACAGCAGTCACGCGGCCGCGCAATGAAATTTCGCCCTGTTGATTATTTATGTATTAGTACAATTTCTTCAACGACAAAAGCCCCAGAGTGGTTTCTTACCGTCATGGCCATCGTAGGAGGTACTGGCTTGCCAGAAAACAAAGAAATGAGAGCAATAGCCTGTCCGATGCCACTGCTGGGCCCGTCTTTCGGAATGGCACCGGCGGGACAGTGGACATGAATACTGCGATTTTTCATCACATCAGCAGAGGGTTCGTTAGTCAGACCGAGCTCGAATGCATGGGCCTTGACCCAGGTGAGTGCCACCTCGACACTCTCCTTTAGAACTGTGCCAAGCTTGCCAGTGAGTTGAACGGTTCCTCTTCCAGGCATGTCAGCAATCTCGATGAACAAGATGCTTCCATTGCCTCCAGTGCTATACGCAACCAACCCGGTAACAATACCGGGCCTGCTCGTTTTCTCTGCGATCTCTTCCTCATACTTCTCGATACCCAAAATGTCTTCCAGGTCCTCCACTGAGAGCTCGCGCTTGTAGTGGTCGAGGCGACCACCGTCTTTAGCCTCGGCGTACTGCACAGCCTTGGACCGACAAACTGACCCCAGTTCGCGCTCCAAGTTCCGGACACCAGCTTCGCGCGTGTATGACTCAATGACCTTGGACACAACATCCTCGTTGAAGATGATTTGATCCTCCGCGAGGCCATTGGCCCGAATCTGCTTGGGAACAAGATGCTGCATCGCAATGTGCCGTTTCTCCAGAATTGTGTAGCCTGGCAGATAAATCATCTCCATGCGATCGAGGAGAGGTGCGGGGATGGTATCTAAATTGTTCGCGGTCGCGATAAAGAGGATCTTGGAGAGATCGATAGGCATTCCAATATAGTGATCCTGGAAAGTATGATTCTGCTCAGGATCGAGAACCTCGAGCATAGCAGCCGAAGGATCACCATGGACACTAGCCATGCCAATCTTATCAATTTCGTCGAGAAGGAACACCGGATTCGCAACCCCAACCTTGCGCAGACCTTGGACGATGAGGCCAGGCATAGCGGCGACATAGGTACGTCTGTGGCCACGAATCTCCGCTTCGTCGCGTACTCCACCGAGGGAGATACGATGGAACTTGCGACCGAGGGCTGTAGCAACTGATTTGGCAAGGCTGGTCTTGCCGACACCGGGAGGTCCAATCAGGAGCATGATGGGGGACTTGTCCGTCATCTTCTGCGACTTGAGGACCTGGATTTGGGCAGCCTCAGCATCGGAATGATCGTGATCTTGCTCAGTATTCGAGTCAGGTTGATGAACTAGCGCTTGTTCAGAGCGGATCTTCTGTTCCACTTCATCGTTGATGGATTGCTTGAGACGAAGTACAGCGAGATACTCGATGAGCCGCTTCTTGACCTTTTCAAGTCCATAGTGATCGTCGTCCAATTGCTTTCGCGCCCGTGTTAATGTCTCGGGACCAAGTCTATCGTCGGTAATGACAGCCCAGGGAACCTCCGACAGAGTCTCCAGCCAGTTACGAGTGACCTGGTATTCTTGGTTCATCGGCATCATCTTCTGCAGACGACGAAGCTCTCTATCCACTGCTTTGGCAACGTCCGGTGGAAGCTGTGCATTTTGAAGCTTCTTCTTGAGTTCATCGATCTCGCTGGCTTCCTGGTCCTCGTTGTCATTACCACCCTGAATGTTGCCACCCGGGGGTGGCATGAATGACATGCCCGGGAGGTGCTGGGGAGAGTTGGGCCTTCGGACTGGATGTTCACCTAACCGGTCGAGGATCTGAACGGGCACAGAGGTGAATGTTGTAATCTTGAAGTTGTTCTTGATGCCTCCAACCTGTCGTTCGAGAAGTTCAATAACCTTTGTGATCCTGACCTTGACATCGAGCGCAGCCAAGACACCGAGTTTCTCCTCATGGCTAGCCTCGACGAGATTGGCCATGAAGTCAGCCAGCAAACCAGCTTCTTTAATCTCTCTTCGCATGATGAGCAGCTCGAGACGTTTAGTGACGGTAGGGGATAGACTGGGGCCAGCCTTGGTGCGTGGCAGCATGGAAGAAATTCGCAAAATCGTTATTAGTTCGCGGGACTGCGCCTTGAGTAGGGCAAAGAGGTCTTGAAGCTGCTTGTCGGCGATATCGGCTGCAGGGGAGGCAGGGGTTAGCGTGGCTACGCGCGACAATAGCGGACGGAGTACTCACTGTCGTCGTTGAAGTATGTTACTTGGCCCTCAAAATATGGGCGCTCCCGCGTAATCGCATCGATTCGAATGCGTGAGGTCCCTTCGACGCGCAAGGCGAATTCGCCGGCACCTCGGCCATCAATGCCGATGATCTTGGCGGCAACGCCAAAGTGGTACAGGTCACTCTTTTTTGCCGAGCCCGGGTTGATCTCGCCGATTGCAGACCTGTCTACTTCCTCTCCATTGCTGATGAGAAGCTGGCCGTTGGGGCCGACAAAGGGTGAGCTGACAGGAACGCACGCGATGGGGATGCTGTCGATGCGACCGTCGGGGCCTTTAGACGCAGCGCGTTCGTAGACATGCGCGAGCAGGGCGGCGATATCATGGCGGCTGGACGTGACGGAGATTCTCTGGACCAGACCTGGCAGCAGGATGGCATCCCGAGGAAGCGGTATCAAAGGTAGGTTCATCTTTTGCGCCTTGCCCATGGCGGGGATCTGAGAAGTGTTCGGTCGAGACAGGCAGCGTCGACGGCAATCGAGATGAAGTAGCGGGGTCTCTGCAACGCCGTAGAATAGGGAGAGATGGAATTTGGCTATGCAAGAAGGATAGGACTCTGAGATGAAGAGGATGTGCTTTGTCGTCGAGGAAAGTCGAGAGGTTGATGTCAGAAACAAGAGCAATCTGGGGACAACCGAGAGGGCGGCCGGTCTGGTCTGGAGGTACTGGGGTTATAAGTTACAGTGGGCAGTTACCGCTTCGGCGGCCTGGTCGTCCCAGGCTAGTGGCTAGTGGCGTGGCTTGCGTTATTGTTAGCGGTCTGGTCTGGTGAAGCTTCCGGGGGTGGAGAATAGCGCATCTACCGAGGCTACCAGTTCCAGGCCGAAGAGGCAACTATGGCGACGTAGGCAAATAGTCATCCCGCTGCTTGCCATTGCGGCGCAGTTGCTTTTGGTACTTTTTCTTCTTTTTTTAGAAACCATGATGGATCCAGTCAGTGTATCCGAGGATGTGACTTACTTACCCAGTGCCTACCTACGTCAGTGATCCGGAGAGTATTTGATGCCGGCCCGCCAAACCCGTCTACATGGAGCTATCAGGTAGTATTTACAGTGGGCGTATCGTCGCCGCACGTACTGTGGCGTTGCAGTTCTAGTATAACCGAGTCACGTGCCACTCACTATTCGTTATCGACATGTGCTTGGTCGCTTGGAAACAAACCCGAAAGTGTCCCGGGATCCAAATAAAAACCCGGAGCCAGTGTTGACTCATTGCCTCCCGGCCCCAGAGCGCCATCTCGTTCAATCCGAGAAGCGGGGTACCTACATCCTAGGTATGGCATCTGGCATCCTGCCGTCCTCCCGAAATAGTTAGAGACCAGCAGCCACGTCAATGCTGGTGTCTACTTTACCTCCTGGTCAGATTTCGAATGGTGCCCCCAAATGATACATTCTGCTACTATAATAGCACGCCTTCTTGACAAAGCCTCCTCGATCAACGATTCAATGATCTGTACCACGGTTGCACGGCCATCTAATCGCAGCAGCGTTCACCGAGATCGTCACAGCCAAGTTTAGCGGGCACCCATCCAAAAGCCGAATAACGGCGGAGTTATCTCGCACCGAGGTGGTGCACTCGAATGGACCATGTTACGCCATGCAATATCAGGAGCGCATCTGCGCATCTTAGATAGATGATAGATGGTGTTGAGAAGGTAGCAAGCAGTAACTACCTAACCTACCAGCACTGAAATTGATGGTATTAGTCATACCTCTCTAACTCTCATACCTCTCTCACATTACCTACCAACGGCGGGCCGCAGTGACTGTTTCTGTTTCTAGACACGGCACTTCGTCCCCCGTTTACTTTATAACTTTCCCCTGTAGCGACGCGGTATCAAGCTGTTAACCCGCGCGCGTTGGTAGGTACTTAGGTACCTAGGTACCCAGTGAAAGAATAGGTTCTTGCCTTTGCTGTCACCATCACCTCACTAAGAGGTAGCTGAGAGCTTCGTGAACTGGTGCGGACCCGCAGAACACATTCTGCCTGCCACGACCGCCCAAAAGTTTTTGTAAGCGCGATAGTGTTGCAGCCAGCCTCTGCTCGCCGCATTTTTTTCCGTCGTGCAGAACAAGGCAAGCTCATGATATAATCCGCGCCGCAAGCGATTGCGGCTCAATCACTTGCCAGTCATGAACATCTCCCAACCCATATCCTCCGAGGTCGAGTCGGTCGAATTTACTTTCCTTTCTCCTGCCGAAATTGAAGCTGTCTCCGTCAAACGCATCGAGAATGAAAGCACCTTTGATAGCATGCTCAATCCTGTCCCGGGCGGGCTTTACGACCCTGCTCTGGGCTCATGGGGCGACTCACCGTAGGAAAATTCTCGGGATACTGGAATTCCCACCTGGCTAACTATTGTCTTCTCAACAGATGTACAACTTGTAACCTGAACCACTTATACTGCCCCGGCCACCCGGGCCACATCAAACTGCCAGTTCCAGTCTATCACCCCATCTTTCTCGACCAAGCCTATCACCTTCTTCGAGCTACTTGTTTATATTGCAAGGGCTTTCGTCTGTCTGCCAAGGACCTGCATAAGTACATGTGCAAGCTCCGACTTTTGCAACACGGCCTAGTCCACGAAGCGCATATCGTTGGTGCAATCGGCGAAACCGACTTCTCCGGTGCTCTTGAAGCCTCCGTATCCCTCGAACTTGACGGTAGTGAAGCCGAAGACGACACCAGCTCCATCGACAATGTCACACGGAAAAGGGAAAAGTACGTCCAGCTTTGCCTTCAACGGGGGCGGAAAACGAGACGTGACATTAAGAAGGGCAAGCACGAAGGAACCGGGCAAATGCGTCGCGAAGTCATCAAGGAATTCCTTGCCGAGCTGACAAAAAGGCGCGAATGTGTCAGCTGCAACGGCATCTCTCCAACCTACCGCAAGGACTCTTTTGTGAAAATCTTTGAAAAGGCGCTTTCTGATAAAGACACGGCCAAGATGGCGCAGCGAAATCTCAAATTTGGCGATGCCATGTCGCGAGTGTATCAGAAGACCATGACCAAGAAAGACCAGCAAAATGAAACCACCCATGACTCGAGTGAAGACGAATCTCAGTCGGGCGAGGATGTCACTATGCAAGATGCTGACGAGGAAGAGTCGACGATACCAAAGGCCAACCGTCCTGCCGTGAATCAACGATATATTAGCCCCATGGAAGTCCGCGCTCGTTTGGTTGAGCTCTTCGACAAGGAGCAAGACCTCGTGTCGCTTCTCTACAACGCCACGCCAGCTACCAAGAGGACTGCGAAGACGACCCCCCATATGTTCTTCGTCACGGTCCTTCTTGTCCCTCCGAATCGATTTCGCCCCGAGGCCCGTACTGGCGACTCACAAATATCGGAAGCCTCGCAAAACAATCTTTATAAAAACATTTTGCGCAGCAATGGCAAGATTGCGAAACTGCACGACAATGTTAAAAATGGCAGTTCGGACATAACAGCATTGCATCTTGCATGGGTAGAACTGCAGGAATCCGTGAACGCGCTCGTCGATAAAAACAAGAACCCCGTCCAGGGAGCTGCTGCCAAGCGTAACGAGGACGGTATTAAACAGAAACTCGAGAAAAAAGAGGGTTTGTTCCGAAAGAATATGATGGGAAAGCGAGTCAACTACGCCGCACGAAGTGTCATCTCACCTGACCCCAATATTGACACGAATGAGATTGGTGTCCCTCCGGTCTTTGCTCAGAAGTTGACTTATCCAGAGCCCGTCACGAGTCACAACTTTAGAGACATGCAACAAGCTGTCATCAACGGTGTCAGCAAATGGCCAGGTGCCATCGCGATCGAAGACGAGAACGGCCAAATTGTCAATCTTCGCAACAAGTCAGTTGACGATCGCATCTCGCTCGCAAACCAACTTCTCGCCCCCACAAACGCAAGCACTCCCAAGACGAAGAATAAAAAGGTACATCGCCACATGACAAACGGTGATGTCGTTCTCATGAACCGTCAACCAACGCTGCATAAGCCGTCGATCATGGGACATCGTGTTCGGGTTTTGCCTGGTGAAAAAACAATTCGAATGCACTACGCCAACTGCAACACCTACAATGCCGATTTCGATGGTGACGAGATGAACATGCATTTCCCCCAGAACGAGGTTGCGCGCGCAGAGGCTCTTCAGATTGCTGATACCGATCACCAATATCTCTCCGGCACCCAAGGAAAGCCCCTCCGAGGTCTCATTCAGGACCATCTTTCCGTTTCGATTGTTCTGTGCAATCGCGATACCTTCTTCACCAAGGGCGACTACCATTCTCTCATCTATAGCGCTCTACGACCTGAGAGTGGACACATTCTTTCAGAACGACTCCAGCTTGTACCACCAGCTATTATCAAGCCGGTTCCTAGATGGACAGGAAAGCAGATTATCACCACGATACTAAAGAACCTCAAACCTGCTACTTGCGGTGGCTTGACGATGCATGGGGACACCCAGCTGAAAGCAGAGCAATGGGGCCCCAACTCTGAAGAAGGTGTTGTGCGTGTGCAGGATGGCGAACTGATCACCGGTATACTCGACAAGTCACAAATCGGACAAAGTTCCGGCGGTCTTGTTCATGCTGCCCATGAAGTTTACGGCTCGGCCATCGCTAGCAAGTTGTTAAGTTGCTTGGGTCGATTGCTGACAAGACTGCTAAATATGCAAGCTTTCTCTTGTGGTATGGACGATCTGCGACTTACAGAAGTCGGCGAGAAGGCTCGCTTGGAAGCCCTGGAGCAGGCTGGTGTGATGGGTCTCAAAATTGCCTCCGAGTATGTTTCCCTACCTGGCAACACGAACCCCACCAACAACCTGCTGCTGGAACGTCTTGAGGAAGTCTTGCGTGAAGACAAGAAGCAAGAAGGCCTCGATCTGTTGATGAATCAAGGAACAAGGCATATCACAGACGGAGTCCAAAAAGCTTGCCTTCCCAACGGTCTCGAGAAGCCATTTCCAAAGAATCAAATGCAGGCCATGACTACCTCTGGTGCCAAGGGTTCTCGCGTCAACGCCTCCCTTATTTCCTGCAACTTGGGTCAGCAGGTTCTAGAAGGTAGACGTGTGCCGCTAATGGTCAGTGGAAAGACTCTACCATGTTTCAAGCCATTCGAGACACATATCAGATCCGCTGGCTATATCCGCAGCCGCTTTCTTACTGGTATTCGTCCTCATGAGTACTACTTCCATCACATGGCTGGTCGTGAGGGTCTTATCGATACAGCTGTCAAAACATCCCGTTCCGGTTACCTGCAGCGCTGTGTCATCAAAGGTCTGGAAGGCCTCGTGGTCTCGTATGATGCCTCCGTCCGCGATGCAGATGGCTCCGTGATCCAGTTCCTATACGGTGAGGATGGCCTGGATGTCACCAAGCAAAAGTATCTGAGCAACTTTGACTTCATTCTCGAAAATGTTGCTTCACAAGTTGTGCAGTTGAAGTATGACACCAAAGGAGTTGAGACACTCACTGCCAACCGAGATGACTTCATGAAATATATGAAGAAGGCTGTCAAACACGCCAAGTCGAAGGGTTCGGCCTCCAAGGATCCTCTGATTGGCCTCTATAACCCCACTACCAACACCTTCGCCATGTCAGAGCTCTTCTACGAGGCTATGTCAACATACGTCAAGGAGAACAAGAGCGGTCTCATCCGAGATAAGAGCAGCCAAAAGAAGACGCAAAATAGCGTCGCCCTGAGCCGCAAGAACGCTGAGGCCCTCTTCGCTCTGAAGTACCAGCGCTCTCTTGTCGAACCAGGTGAAGCAGTTGGCATCGTTGCTGGCCAGTCCGTCGGTGAGCCTTCTACGCAGATGACGCTGAACACTTTCCATTTGGCTGGTCACGCTGCCACGAACGTGACACAGGGTATTCCTCGACTCCGAGAAATTCTCATGACCGCCTCTGCCATCATTGCTACGCCTTCCATGACCCTTTATCCCCAATCCAACATATCGCCCGAGCAGGCCGAGATCTTCACAAAGAAGATTAGCCGGACGCCGCTGGGGTACATTGTGGATAGCATCACTGTCGAAGAGCAGGTAGGCCGTGGCCAAATTTACAGTCAGGCCAAAGTCTACAAAATCAAGCTAAAGTTCTTCCCCTCTGACGAATACTGTCAAACATATGCCATCACGGTCGCCGATGTCATGAACTCGATTGAGAAGAAGCTGATGCGTCAAATCATCGCTTTGATGAAGAAGGAGATCAAAAAGCGCAGTGGCCAGAGCACTGGAGCTACGCCAGAAATCGGCGTGCGATCTGGTGTTGTGGAGGTGGCATCAGCGGAAACAAATGCGGAGAGTCGGAATGATGATGACAATGATGATGATGATGGCGACGATGGCGATGCTACTAGTGCCAAGCAACGAGCGAACCGTGGGGAGGAGGTGTCGTACGGTGACAATGATGATGAGGATAACGCAATCCAGAAGGCTATGGGCCAGGACGCGGCGGATGAGAGCGAGGACGAGCAGATTAATGGCGCTTCAAACGGTGCGCCTACAGGAGATGACAGTGAGGACGAGAGTGACGAGGAAGAAAACCAAGCTGCTACCACGGCGCGAGCAGAGGGAATCAAGACCAGTTTCAAAGAAGTAAGCGACTTCGAGTGCGATGAGAAGGACGGAGCATGGTGCAATATTACGATCGAGTTGGAACCCGATTCTCCTAAGCTTTTGATGCTGAACTTGGTCAAGACCGCCATTTCCAAGTCGATGATCCGAGAGATTCGTGGCGTCGGTACTTGCACGTTTGTCAGCGGGGCGATTGAGGCATCAGGCGTCAATCTGCACGCAATGCAGACATTTGCCGAGTACATCGACCCCGACAAGATCAAGACAAACGACATTGCTTCGGTTCTATCCATGTACGGTGTCGAGGCGTGCAGGGCAAGCATTGTGCGGGAACTGGGTAACGTCTTTGGTGGTCACGGTATTTCGGTGGACAACCGTCACTTGAACCTGATTGCGGACTACATGACGAGGAACGGAGCCTTCACAGCCTTTAGCCGTATGGGTCTGAAGGGCAATGTTAGTCCGTTTACGAAGATGAGTTTCGAGACAACGTTGGCGTTCCTCAAGGATGCAGTGTTGGATGGTGACTGGGATGATTTGACGACGCCGAGTGGGCGGCTGGTGTTGGGCCGGCTGGGCAAGCTGGGAACTGGTAGTTTTGATGTTTTGACAAGGATGCCCACGCATCATGTCGAGGTTCTAGCATAGACGTTTGTTTATAGATGCAAAAAATGAAGTTTGATTATTTGTACTATTCACACCACGCACACTACCAGGACGATGTGAGAGACTGGCAGCTGGCCAAGTGCCATTGTTCACGGTTGACCTTTACCCCACTCAGCCGCGGGGCAACGAGAAACGACGCGTGCCATTTTGCTGCGTGATGCTGGCCTAGGGTGGGTAAGAGCTGCCAGGTACTACTAAGGAAAATGCCCATTAAACTTGGCCACCAAACGCGCCTCAACGCGTCTCCCTCTTGCATGCTCGCCACCACACAACCCATACAAAGCCCATAATGTGTACGTTTTCCCGAATCTGTCCCTGGACAAGACTGTCTATGCCGTATTAACAGCATCTTCACTATAGCAGCATATACAGGATTTACAAAAACGGGATATGGAGCCCAAGGCGGCGACGACTCGGGCGGTTTCATGGCGGATGGCTCCCAACAAGGCAGCCAGAGTGGCGGCAAGGTGCGTTCTGGAACCTGTCTGTATTCTTGAGAGAACCACAGCGTAACAGCGACGTCAACTACCAAACGAGCGAAGACACGTACTGACCTCTTCTCATCAGGCTTACCAAGACGATTCGCTACGACCCGTCACCGTGAGACAAATCATCGAGGCCGAGGAGGGATACTCTGGAGGCGACTTCAAGATTGACGGCGCTTCCGCTCCCCAAGTCACGTTCGTCGGGCAAATTCGCAGCGTCAACGCGCAGGCCACCAACATTACCCTCAAGATTGACGACGGCACCGGGCAGATCGAGGTCAAGAAGTGGATCGACGGCGACAAGCCCGAGGACCCGGAAGCGTACGAGCTGGACTCGTACGTCCGCGTCTGGGGCCGTCTCAAGTCCTTTTCCAATAAGCGCCATGTCGGCGCGCACGTTATCCGGCCGGTCACCGACTTTAACGAGGTCAACTACCACATGCTCGAGGCCACGTACGTGCACCTCCACTTCACCCGCGGGCCTCTTGGCGGCGGCGGCGGCGGCGCGCAGCAGCAGCAGAATGGAGGTGCTACCAACGGGGACTCGATGTTTGTGGACGGCGGCGCGGGCTACGACGGAGGCGCCAGCCAAAACGTCAGCAAGCTGGCGCGATGCACACCAGGCGCCAAGAAAATGTTCAACTTTTTGAGCGCAGCGCCGGGCAGCAACGAGGGTGTTGACATCAACATTGTCACCAGCTCAACGGGCATGTCAACGCGCGACGTGCTGACGGCGGCGGACGAGCTCCTTGGTCAGGGCCTGATTTATACTACACTAAACGACGAGACGTGGGCGATTCTGGAGTACTAGGCAGGCGGTCTGGCGCGGGGTGTGGGAGGTGTGGAATGAGTGGGCAACAATACTTGTACAGAATACGTGGTGTATCGGGTAGGTTTGAATTTACCGTATTGGAATGACGCAACGGTTTCTCTCGCAGATTTGGCCCAAGATTGGGAGCAGATAGGCAAAGTAAATAATACTATCGGTATAACTTGGGCGGCCAGCTTTCCAAGTCCACACACAGCTAGACTTGAGCACTGCACCGCCATTCATCAGGATCCTACAATTTCTGCTTCATCTGCATCATCATATAATGAAGCCCTTGAATACTGCCCTCCACGGTCTAGAAAATAATAAATACCATCCAGCTGTTTGGAGAAGTCCGTGGCTCAGCGGGGCCTAAAAGTTTACCTAGCAAAGCAACATTGGTACCTAGACCTAGGTACCAATGAGAGCTGCGCAGCCTCCACACCCAGCGAGGCTTGGCCAGGTCTGTTCAGTGTTCAGTGACGTTGGCGCCAACCTCGTGCTACGACCCTTCGAACTTTGCCGCCTCATCACCAGCCTCTACCCTTTCCTTCACACCGCCAGCCTTCTATCTCGAGCAAGTTGGGGTTTTATCCCACGTCCACCCGGTGCCGCCTCCTTCGACGACCATTCCGCCCCCCCCCCTCCCCAAGCCTCCTCCGCGATCACCGAGCTCCGTGGGCCGCCGCCGCCTCCTCCCCCCAGAAGACACTATACTTCACTCCCGCGCCCGCTTCCGGCCACTCTCCTCTACACATCATGGCGCCTAAAATCGAATCGCAGGAGATTGAGACGTATTGGAACATCTTTTGCGACCGCACAGGCGACGGCAAGTTCCTTACTGGCGAGCAGGCCGCGCCTGTCCTCAAGAACTCGGGCCTGCGCGACGACCAGCTAGAGCGGATTTGGGACCTGGCCGACGTGGACAATGATGGCAACCTGGACTTTGAAGAGTTCTGCGTTGCGATGCGCCTCATTTTTGACGTATTGAACGGCGTAAGTACTCAATTGATGCTGCTCCGAAGACCAACACAATCTGACGTGACGTCGCCCCCGCCATTTAGGAGTACCAAGATGTGCCCAAGACTTTGCCTGACTGGCTGGTCCCCGAGTCCAAGGCACACCTTGTCCAAGCGACACGCGCCATCAGCGGCAACCAGCCCCAGTTTGAACAAGTCGAGGACGATGATGACGAGTCGGCTGGTCTCAAGGACGGCTTTGACTGGTACATGAAGCCTGAAGACAAGTCCAAATATGAACAAATCTACCAAGAGTCGCGTGATATGCGCGGTGAAGTAGACTGTAAGTATCTGTACCCTTACTTGGTGCGTCATTTCAAGCTAACACCACTAGTTCATGCCCTCGGAGACTTGTACGAGTCCCTCGACGTTCCCGATACTGATGTCCGATCCGCATGGAACCTGGTCAACCCCTCCGCCAACGAGACCATCAACAAGGATGCCTGTCTCGCGTTCCTGCACATTCTCAACAACCGCCATGACGGGTTCCGCATCCCGCGCACCATCCCCGCGTCGTTGCGCGCCAGCTTTGAGCGCAACCAAATCGACTACCAGCTCGACAGCCAACGAAACACGGGCGCCAACTCGCGCTGGGCGACCAAGGCCGATGATGCGACGAGTACCGGCCGCAAGACCAAGTTTGGCGAGCAGTACCTGACGCGCCTCGGCCGCAGCGGCTTCAAGACGGCTGGCACCGACTTCTCGACGGAGAAGACGGAGGACTGGGAGGAGGTACGGCTGAAGCGCAAGCTGGCCGACCTCGAGGAGAAGATGCGCAAGGTTGAGGAGGTGGCCGAGCGCAAGCGTGGCGGCGCGCGCGACGGTAAGCCCGCGCTCGTCAAGAAGGAGCTCGACCAGCTCCTCGACTACAAGCGTCGGGAGCTACGGGAGCTCGAAGAAGGCACGGGCAAGAGCGCCGAGGGCTTGGGGCTCAAGAGCTTCTCGGACGATTTGCAGACGGTCCGCGAGCAGGTCGAGGGTCTGGAGACGCATCTAAGATCAAGAGAGCAGGCGCTGGAGCAGCTACGGCAAGAAATTGAGACGGAAAAGAGCAGATAGAAGAGCATGACCAGAAGGGGTAGACTGCGGACGCACTACCAGGAAGCTATGGCGACAGTGCATATTCTTTATAATAACATATTATCAGACTTTCATTATTCTCACTATATCCTTTCATATCCCTACACATAGTATTTGGGCTCCGGGAGTTACCAAATGGAACCATCAACAAACTTGGGGGTTCGTTCAACACCGAGTGTTCGCGACTTGGCAACCCATACCGCAAAGGAAGGTATCGGCAGCCAGCCGTACCGCCCGACGCCGCCACAACGGCCCGTAGAGACGAGGATTATATCCATAGTCGACCCTCGAGGCTGCTGCTCCTTCCCAGACAGGACGCTGCCAATGTTGGTGGCCACGCAACTTGCCTAAGATATTGTTAGCCACTGCACACGACGGGCTACATTTCACATCAAGAAAAGGGAAGACGTCTACATACCTGCGCTTCAGTTATGAGATATCCAGCGCTCGGCTTGCCGACAATGTCGCCGACAGCCCACACATTGTCCGCGCCCGTGACACGCATGTACTCGTCCGCCTTGACGAGCTTCTTGTCATCCAGGAGCTCATCGGGGATGAATTCTGAATTCGGCGCCATGCCTACCGTCTGGAGGTACAAGTCGGTGACAATAGTCTCGCCGTTGGAGAGCGCCACCTCGGTGCGACCGTCGGCCGTGTCCCGCGTGCCCACGGTGCGCACGCCCTTGCGCACGACGACGCCCATGTCCGTGAGCGCGCGCTCCAGCGCCGGCGCCGTCGCGTCGCCGCCGAGTAGCGCCTCTCCACTACCGGCTACGAGCACGACGCGCGTGTCCGGGCACTCGTGGCGCAGCTCGCCGCAGACCTCGACGCCGGTGGCGCCGCCGCCCGCGACGACAATGTGCGCGGCGGCCCGCACGCGCGCGGCCGTGCCATGGAGCTCCGCGATCAGGTCCGCGTACGTCCCGTCGGCCTTCCACGGCAGGCCCGGCGCGACGGAGCGCGAGCCGGTCGCGAGGACGAGGTAGTCGTAGCGCACGGTGCGGCGGCGGGGAGAGCCATCGGCGTCGTCGGCCGTCTCAATGGTCACGGTGCGGGCGGTGGTGTCGACGGACTGCGCCGCGCCGAGGACAAACTCGGCGGCCGCGGGGTGTGCAGACGTGTTGTACTGTGCAAGGCCGGGGCCGATGGGCTGCAGCAGCTCCTCGTCTTGGACGGCGTCGGGGATGATGGCGCGCACGGCGGCCACGTTCCAGTAAAAGTGGCTGTTCTGGGAGATGATTAGCCTCGGTGGTACTAGGCAGAAGAGCAGAAGAGCTCGCGGGCTTGCTGACTGACTTTGGATACGAGGATGACCTTGAGGTCTGGGTGCTTGGGCAGGGTCTTCTTGAGCAGGCGATGAGCGACACCGAGGCCGCCGATCGAGCCGCCTAATACCACGACCGTCTTGCCAGTCCCAGTCATTGTAGTTTAAATGTTCCTTTTGAATTCAAATGTGATGATGAAGTGGTGAGGAAATGGATTAGTTGATGGCTCAGCGAAACGCTATATGTAGGTAGGTAGTGACGCAACGGCAGCCTAGCGGCACGAGCCGAGACTCGGATGCGGCCTTGTCCTTGATCACTGATCAGACGGCTATACGGGTGCATCGAAGCGTTGAAACACGGTTCTTTTTTTGGTCTTTCCTACACAAAACACAAAACGTACTGTTTCAGGCGTACGCAAGCGGCCAAAGACATTGTTTCTACAGCGGCCTGGATTGTGGCCACCACGTCACCATTTCTCGTCTCTGAGCCCGTGGCTTGCGTGTGGCGCAGGACCTGAAATGGCCCTCGTCATGCAGGGCTGCACATGTTTCACGTAGGCCAGTACGTGCGATACTACTTCTGTCATTGACAAGGGCAAAGAGGCTTGGAGGCTGCGTGGTGAGGTCATGTGAAGACAGTTGTACCGCCGCCTAGGTGCCGCACTAGCATGACATCAGACGGGAAGGCCTCGTCAGATTCGTGGCCACAACGCGGAAATGGCTCTGGAATAAATGAATGAAAATCACAATAAATTCATCATGTAGTTTGTCAGCTTTAAAGGCACACAGTCGGCAGAATTATAAACCACGTACGAAACACAGCCTCTGGCACATCTGTAGACAACTGCTGCACTGCCCGCAGCCCCGCAAACTAGCGATGCTCCCCTCCTCCGCCTTTCTCTGACTCTTGACACCTGCCCAGCCCCTCCAGGAGCTCCCCTCTCCAAAACAACTTCAACATTTCCATCTCTTCTACTCTCGCAAGCTCCCTCACCAACCTACAAATCCATTCAACATGTCTGCCGCTTTCACCAAGGCCGCCGAGGACTCCAAGAAGCTCCTCGCCAAGCCCAGCAACGATGAGCTCCTCGAGCTCTACGGTTCGTGACCCCGCGCTGCTACCCCGCCTCATCGTGCTACACGGCGAGCTGGGAACCCGTTTTAGACATGAATCAACAGAGCTGACAACTCGGCTTCCCCCCCAGGTCTCTACAAAGTCGGCAACGGCGAAGACATCTCCAGCGCCCCCGCCCCCGGCATGTTCGATATGAAGGCAAGTCACCATTACCCCTCACCTCCTCCATCGCGCGACCCTCCTCCACGACGGCATCCACGAGGCGATATGTACAATGGCTGGAGAAGCGCCGCGCGAGATCTCGTCTTCAATATAGATGGGGTTTGACACAGAGTAGTTTTCGCTAACAGCGACGGCGAATTACAGGGCAAGGCCAAGAAGAACGCATGGCAAAAGATCGTCGACGAGGGTATCTCGGCCGAGACCGCCCAGGAGCGCTACGTCGCTCTCGTCGAGCAGCTCAAGGCCAAGCACGGCTTTGACGAGAACAAGGTCCCCGAAGCTGTTGGCAACTAAGCGTCTGTCGCAGCCACTCAGAAGAAGAAAAAAATTAAATGCACGGGAGTGAGGAGTTGCGACGACTTTCCTTGCGCGAATAGACAACCCCGGACATGGGTATATGTATAACTACACCGGGGTGTATATTTAGGCCGGGTCGTTCTCAATAGAAGATCACTTTCTCTGCTTCAACACGGTTGACATTCGTGAAAGGGATCGAGTGCCTCCGAGCCAATGTGACGACGGCATTCTCTTCGTATGCTTGAGCCTAGAAAGTAACCATGAAATAGCGTGATGTCCGCGAAATCGGCGTAGCCTTCTTGTGGCTATAGATACCTGACTTTCGGTACTTTTCTGTACGGCGACTGGTGACGATAGAGGCCCCGCGGCAAATGTGTCAGCAGTACAAGTCACACGACTGACTAGACGGCCAATACAATCTTGAGTCTGTATGGCGACAAGAATAAGTCCATTCCTCCTCGTTTCTACTTCCGCTGATAGTTTCCCCAGACGCTGGCTGACTATTATCATCACCATCTATCGACTGTGTTAGTTTTGGGAACTGGCGCAAAAGTTGACCATCTTTTCAAATGAGAGTTTTTTATATAATATAGAGCATTTAGCAAACGAGTGAGTTCACAATCACGTATCAGCCCACAGATGAGACACCCATTCTGAGAAGCTGGTTCTAGACCATGCCAATCAATGGTCACACGATGGAATATCAGGCGGCCGGAGCCATGGGGCTCACCCGACGGCCCGGATCCGCGTTTGGCAGAACCCCAAAGAACAAAAAAAGTGACAGGTGCTACGTGTTGGCCCACCAAGTTGCTTTTACCACCCCTCGCTTAGTCGGGAACAGAAGTCTATTTTGACTCGAGGTGGTATCCGGAATGTAACTAGTTCAAAGCCAGAAGAGGCCAACATCTACCCACATGGGCGGGGAATGACACGCGGGGGAAGCACGGGAAAAAGGAAAACAGCTGGCGAAGCGTGTGGGAGAGG